TGTGCTCAGGATAAATGGAGAGGTACAGCAGCAGCGATATGCTCTCAGATTCGTCTGCTAATTTGCATTTGTTTGGGGATTATGAATGCTTTGAATAGTGGAGATGGCTTCACGTTTTGTAGAGCCACGTGCATGGTATCGATGTGTGGAGCAACTATGAAGGAAACCACTGACTGAATAAAAAGTTATTGCGTACTGACTTGAATATATAACCACGTTCGTTTCGGTCTAATTCTTCTGTTGATTGGTGAAAATATTTATTTTTGTATACTCTCGAACAACTTTTATGTTTTTTATGCATCTAATTCCTGCATTTATTGCATCTGCATTTTTTACGTTGTCAGAACTTGTGTTACTCAATAGCGTCTAAAGCGGATCAGACATTCCCGAGACCCTCACAGGGCATTCGTACTCATGCATATTTATGAGCTTGTTTGACGGCAAGGGACAAATTATTATCTTGAAAACATTCGAAGCATCTTCATGCCATCCGAAATATGTCAATAAAATATGCGACAAAGACGTTCCCATATTTTATTTTGGAACACACAATTAGGTGAAATGTTTACATACTAAAAAATCCCGAAACTGAAACAGCGACTGATGTTACATATCCAGGTGCAAAAATTGGAAGAACTTCAGGTTAAATGTCAGGAGCACACGGATTTGAGTCTTAGAAGCTTCCAAGAAATGCAATAATTGCCCAGGGGGCACCGTTCCAGTTTTGATTGACCTTCAGATTTAACGCCTCGAATATCAAGTGATTGATGCGCGTGCACAACGCAGTGACGAAATTGCCAACATCTTTCCTATGATGTTGTTTTGAAAGCTATAAAATCCTGCAAACTAGGTTATTGGTGTACATATATAGGCTGGCTTTCTGCATCAGTGGATCTCGCGAGATAATATCTATAGAATGTAGATCAAATTTCGAAGCAATTTTTAGGCTTTATTGTCTTGACATAGATTCGTAGAGGATTGAAAATCATGGTCCATAATAATCTTGACGCGTAGAATTATGCGCATAATAATATGAATAATAATGATAAAAATAATATTAATTTGATTTTAAACCGTTTTTGCAAAGATTAGGTAAAAGTTTTTTATTTGTGTGACAAGCGAGCTAGCGGCGGTGCTCGCACTATACCTCGTGAATGACCAAGAATGTTAATTATATAGTACATATCGAGGCAGAGAATATTTATCGTTTATCATCACAGATAAAATATCATGTTACATTAGATAAAATTATTTGTTGGTAGTGCCACTGCATGTAGTACCAAATTTACGAAATTCATCCATGCTTATCGAATAACTTGTTTATAGATTATATAATTAAAATTGACCTGAATAGGATGCGTGCTTGGTCCGTATATGAGACGTAATTAGCGATGCTTTTCAAGTTCTGAACAAGTGTAGGAATTTTAATGAGCAAGCGCCGCACTATTGTGACTGCATGATTGCCTCGATGCGCTGTTTTTTATGCCTCAAATTAATTTGATATTGGCTGTTTTGTTGGGAGGATAATTACTCGGCGCCTTTCGATCGCTCTTACTTTTTGGGTGAAGGTTGCATAAAACTCGGTACTCGTTTGCATACAAATCGAGCATTAATTGCTTACGATTTTTGCGCTGGTATTCGACTTGACGTCGTAGTTAACGGGTCTATTCAGTCAAAGCAATCGCTTCTTATAACCTGAGCTAATTGAACTTCACTCTTGTGGCGCAAGGAGGATTGGGTGTAAAAAGAGTGACGATCTCAACGAGTGGTTTTTAAATGTTGTGTCATAATTCTTTTCGATTAACGTTAATNAGAGTGACGATCTCAACGAGTGCTTTTTAAATGTTGTGTCATAATTCTTTTCGCTTAACAGTAATCACGATGCAGGCAAATCGCAACAAATACAGACTTTTGTCTCTTATCAATCGAATTTTCAATTCCTGCATCGTGATTCGTACATTCTATACGTTTTTATCCAAGTAAAATTCGACAATGTGTAATCGTTCTTACGTTGATCTCTCTTCTTCATTGACCTTTCGAACGGGATCTAAGATACTATGTGACGGGATATAAGATACTGTGTGACGAGATATAAGATACTGTGTGACGGGATATAAGATACTGTGTGACGGATCTAAGATACTGTGTGACGGGATATAAGATACTGTGTGACGGATATAAGATACTGTGTGATGGATATAAGATACTGTGTGACGGGATCTAAGATACTGTGTGACGGGATACCCTATCAAGAAGTTGTCTCATACGAGTGCAAACTAGATCATTAATTCAACTAATGTTCAACAATTTAAAGTAATTGCTTGATAGTTATCGTTTGAAACGCTTTGGATGTTAATTGCCTCTTAAGTCTTGAATCCAATAATGTCAGCTTGACTATAATGACTGTAAGATTATGTCGATAATTATATATATCACCTTATGATATCTTAGTTGATCTTGTATATACAAGTGGTATACGGTATCTTGTTAATCGGTTCTTCAGTCGAAGTCTCTCATCTCTACAATTGAGTACTTGAAAAGAATTCAATATTTGATTTATTTTTTTCCTACACGAGTTTTCTGCCCTCATCAAATCATAATGTTTTGAGTTAAGTGTATTGCTAGCATTTTACAATAAGTTAACGATTCATTTCAATCTGCACAGTGGGGAGTTAACGATTATTGTAATCACTTTTATAATAAATGTCCCAGAATTTTAGGTGTTATTTTTTAGCTTTCTTGCTCAAGTTTCCAAATGGGTCATAAGTTTATTTAATTTGTAACACCTTTCACTTGAATATTAGATATTTTTACGTAGATTCCTGGCATGGTTAAATGTTGCTCGTGTTCATTTCTTGTAGGTATAACTCTTAAGTAAAAATAACTTGTGAATAGACAGATATTATTACGCAAGCAATATGGAATAATTATCGAGTGTCTTCAGTTTTTCTCCAGTAGAGGAGCAATCATCATTACAAAAACGAGTATAGTAGAATAAAATACATGAATATTCACGCCGAAATATTTTGCAGCGCCGCCTACTGAATAACTCAAGGTTATACTCCTAAAAATCATGGCCATGTTCGAAGGTGCTGAAGTTTTTACCATCATGTACAAATGCTGGTGATTGGATGGTCGGCAGCGACTCTGCCTGACTCATTGAGCGGCCATCCATCAGTGCTTTAGAACGAATAGATCACAGACTCACTCCATGTAGCCGCGGTCGACAGCCGGCCGCGCGATCCCATGATTTACGGCATTCGCTGCTCTAATTAATCTCCAGCCGGATTGCTTCCTTGCCAATTAGGAGTCATCACTTCTGAGTGCGTTCAGAAAAAATAGTTTGCTATTGTGCTTGAATCTGCGCCTTTGAAATTAGGCCTGGAAAATTTGAGTGGGGATCTGCGTTTTATCCAGCCACTACAGTTTTTTTTGTACTCCAATTCGCTGCGACTAGATGCTTGAATTATGTTTTAAATTGTTGTGTGTCTTTGATTTCACGTCTATTCATTCGTGGTTTTTCTTCCCTGTTTTTAAACGGTTAAAAACAGGGAAGTCTTAACCAGTGTTTTTAAATTGGTTCAACTAGTTAAAATTTATTCTGAGCCCTCCTACGTCGACATATTTTGATACTAATTAACTTATAATTTACAAGCTAAACATATTTTTAAAAATAAATTTATAGGTTGAATAAATCTATAAATGAATTTGATAATCTTATAATGAAATTCAACAGTAGCACAGTCTTAAACTGTAGGTATTATTATCGAATACTTCTTTATTAATGCTATTGTAAGGTTCTGATCTGTATGAAGAGGGTAGCCTTTGCCGCGGGCACCTCTGAAGGCGTTCAGAGCGCGTCTCGCTTGCTAATCCCCTATTTAAGTTATATCTTATATCTTGTAAGCCACAAGGCATACAAACGTTCACACATCTAGTGGCGCAATCACACAAAAATCAAATGATTTCAATCGTGTGAAAACGCAGATTTGTTTGTATGCATACAGATGATCTCACACGTGACGTGTGAGATCATCGTGTATTTGTATTAGTGTATTTACACAAATACACATCGTGTATTTGTACGTCTATTTGCTATTCTGCCAATGCATTATTGGTTTAAAAGAAATGTTTTAAGCAAGCTGGAACTTAAATCCATCATAACGGCCTGTAATTGGCTCGAAAGAAGTAAATGCTATTAAAATTAAATTTAAGTTATATAACTTCAAAAATGTTATTTATGGGTGAGGATGTACAGATGTATTGCAAGATCAACGAATTATCGATCGCAGAACTTTTTGATTAAATTACGATACTTCAACAACAACACCGTCACGATTTTTTTTATCATTGATATTCATTGCTGCATTTTCAGTAAGCACGAATGAACTCCAAACTGAATAAAACTAACAATATTTAATTTCTATCAAATAATAGTCGCAAATCTCGATATATTAATAGAATTTTTTTGAAAATGTTGTATTTCGTTTAATTAAGTAAAATTTATGTACAAAATTAAACTCAGCTTGTATAAAATCGAAAAATTGAAATGAAAATTGCAATGAATTTTTTTCTCATGTGTTACCGACAATGTACTGCTGCTATAATACAAAATATATTATTCTATGATATTTCGTACAGATTTTGTCCAATTAATTGTTCCTCTTGCATTTCTATATATTTTAAAGACAATATACAGTAAAGGCTTTTTCAAAAAATTTATAAATTGGGAATTACAAGATTTTCCGCTCAAGTTGTACGACTTGATCACCTTTCAATTATGATGCCCTCATTCCCGATTCAGAGTAATATTCTATCGTATGGTCGAACTTCTAATTTCAGCATTACAAATCCCCTAAACGCACCCAGTTTTTTTTTGGACTTTTGTAAATTAAAGTTGCTATATTTAAATCTAAAATAATACTTGCGCTTTGTTGTTTATTAATTAATGGTTATTGATTATTATAATTAATTGTATTGTTTATGAACGTCCCCGGCAGACGCGCGACGCCGCAAAGTCCGCGTGACGGAGGTAGAGGACCTCGTGAAGGAAGCCATCGCGGCCACGGTGAGCTCTGCTCTTCGTCAGGAGCTCGAGCCTCTCCACACCGCCCTCAGGATCGTCAAGCTCGACACCTTCACCGAGGGCATCGTCAGGCAGGTCCGTAGGACTTCTGCATGTTTATGATACTAGCTGAATAACATTATTTTTACAATGGTCATTTATTAAATGTTAGCCGAATACCACGCTATTAACTCTGGTCATTTACCATAAAGCTGGCCGAATACCATGTTATTAAACTAATACTGGTCATTTAACATTCAGTTTCCATTGTTTATAGTTACAATTAAGCCTAATTTCCGTTAATAGTTAACGCGTTGCAACTTACGACGAATGCTTTCAGTGAAATGAGCACGTCGAAATTTCTTGACTGTAGGACAAACTTCGATCTTATAGCATAATATATCAGTAGATGGAGAAATGCTTTCAGTGAAATGAGCCCGTTGAAATTTCTTGACTGTAGGACAAACTTCGATCTTATAGCATAATATATCAGTAGATGGAGATTTTTATTACTTAATAGGAGAGACATATGAGGCTAATCTTTTGTAACAATCTTAGAATTGAATCCGATTAACTTTTCAATAAATGAAATTTAGACGTATACTGACTGTTACTATATAGCTGCATGTGAAGATTGTGAAGAGAGCATGATTCGCTTGTGTATATTCGTATCGGACAACTCAGAATGTTTATGATAATTGAACCTTACAATTATTATTATGTATTCTGGTGTTAATGTCGACTTAATGGGTTACAAGTTTTTTTTCAAAATTTGCAGGTTTCTTTACAAGCATGTACTAATTTTTTGTAGTTGTTTAGAAGCTCAGCTCGACTTTGTTCATACGTGGGACGGTGTTATTTATTGATTCTAAAATTCGCTCTGTATGATTTGTACAAGCCTCGTGAATATATGCTTGCACCAGCCAGCAAGCGAAGTAAGCTTCTTACCATCATAATTTTTCAATTTAAGCTTTGCTGCAGGCACACAGCATCGCTTTCTTCCAATTCTTTTATCACATTTGCTTTGTGTTTTTCTTCTGTTGAGTGATAATATTTCGTCAGCCTTCCTCCCATCTTCTTCGTTGTGGGTTTGCAATAGAGTACAACTTGACTATACGCTTTGGCAAGGCTTTCTTTAATCTATTGATTTAAATTCACATCAACTAAACTAACTGTACCATCATTTAAATTCGCCATAGTCTCCATCGTTAAGACGTCTCAGTGTAGTATTGTTACAGCAGACACCATATTTATATACCCCGACATTATTTCAACGTGATAGTGATACTGCTAATAATATATGAATAATGCTTGTATATTGATAACAGCTGAGCACACTAGAGCACATACAGAGCAAGCTGCTCACGGAGTATGGTGAGATGAGGGAGGCCGTCTCCCAGGCGTCCAGAAACGCTCAGGAGCTCGGTAAGTGTACAAGGATAGAAGTGATATATGCCTTCAAGGGATATAAATGAGATAAATATTCTTATCATAAAGTCCTAAAACTCCTAAGGAAATCAGAATCCCTTAATGATAAAATTATATAAAATAAGATATTAAAATTAAATTTAATATATCGAATACTATATAAAATGAGATAAAAATTCATATCCATACAATCATGAAATTCCTAAGGAAATCAGAATCCCTTAATATTAAAATATATTTTAAATAATTTATTAAAATTAAATTTAATATATAATTTAATTTTAATTCAATATATAATTCAATATATTAAATAAGTATTAATATTGAAATAAGATATTTGTTGTAGAATCCTTTAATATTAAAAAAATGTTCTCCAGTTTTTACGTATTGTTAGTTATATATACTACTTAGGAATGAGTGTAGGCACCTGGAACGAGCTTACTATAATAGCATAGTTCATTTGCGTGAACATTTTAAATTAGACAAAGAGACCGCACTTTTTTTGAGGTCTGCGCACTTTCAGCAGTTTCATGAAATTAATAATTGCGAGAGATCATAAGTTTATGTCCATGAATTCGATAACATTTTGTTAGTTGAACGGAAATTCATGTAAGGTTATGTAGAATCGTGATTGTTAGTTCCGGATAACTCGTCAAAAATGAGTGAAAGAATTACAACAACTCGTCAAAATTTGTATTTGATTGTTTTTATTTTTATTTTTTTTATGGAAAAAAGTTAATTTTTCTCTCATTGCTCTTTGCTCGTATTTAGAAAAATATATATATTTATCTATTAGTCTATTACTTATTTATTTGTATATTTTTAACGCATTGTTATTATTTTGTTATGGAAATAAGTTAATTTCGCTCGTAGCTTTTTGCTCGTATTTAGACAATAAATATTTATATCAATTACTTAATTAATTTATATATTTGTCACGCATACCCTCGCGAGCAGCGGTTCAGATCATTGGCCTGGAGGCGAAGATAGCCTCGCTGGCGGCCGACGCTGCGAGCAGCAAGTGAGTTGACAATTAACTCCTACATCCCCAGCGTCATGTTTGTACATCAGGTGATAATTCTTCACAATTAACGACAGTACAATGAAGAATAAATCTGCCAAATTTCTCTTTCTAATACTATACCTACGGTACTATTGACTTTATTATATTAAATGTGAAATCAGAAGTCGCAAAAGTGGCTAGTTTTGCGAGTAGTCTAAAGTTTATGACACGAATGAAAGTTTCGGGGATTTGAACCTAATGTTTAGAAATAAATATTCAAGTCAATACGAACTCAGAATGAAATTTCTTATGCTGCCTGCTACAGGAAAGATGAGCCGCCCTCCAGCACCCGCAGCAGCAGCAGCAGCAGCGCTGAGAGCGGCGGAGGCCCGGCCAAAACTGAAGAGCTCAAAGCCGTCCTCATGCAGGCCTCGGCAGCCTTCTCCGCCAGACTCACGGTGCGTGTAGGCTACATGCCGTACTTTATACTTGGCAACATTTTGTCTATTCATTCGTAATTAACGGCTCCACAGCACGAGTAAGGCTGGGTATATTTCTGTTATAATTTTTTTCTCATGTGAACATCGTATAAGATGAATTATGTTGTGGATGTTATATAATATATACGTACACCGTTCAACTATCAAACACTTTTAGATTGTCAGCATTATGCTAGAATCATTTTCTGCAGGGCCACTGAGCCGTTTTTTTATCACGCTCATCTTCATTGCTAATTCCTTTGGCTGAAATGTAAAAACACAAACGAAAAAATATCTTTAGAACCATATGTTCATTTCTTTCAAACTTAATATATGTTCTTTTCACGCGTCAGCTTTCTGATTACCGAGCGACTAATGAAGAGTTATAATAACAATTTTTTTACCTAGCAATCGTCTCTAGTTTTATAGAATTTTTAAGGAGTACAATTATGGTGTTATTCTCACTATCGCAATACCTATAGACAGGAATGTGTTCAGGTAATGAAATGTCGCTCATGGTCCACATTCAAAGAAAACTATGATTAGTCAACTATCATTAACTAATGGCCAGACAATCTGTTACTATTGCATGTAACTATGTGCATGGGTGTCAGATACGGCAAGGAAACAACCTTAAATTTCCTAATTAATCTTTTATTTATTATACGAGTTCTAAAGTTCAGAGTACCATGATTGGAGCAGAGAGGCGCGGGTTCGATCCCAGCTCTGTGCGCCAGTTTCTGGTCAGAATCGGCAAGGAGGCCGGGCGGTTAAGGGGAGCGTCTACCCTAAAATTGAAAATTTTTACTTTTTCGGTTTTTATACTAATTTTAAAGCTGACATTCTGCCCTATCCAACGGTACCACTGCCATCTCTCTACGTTGATCTATGATTTCACGACATTTCATGAAAGGGGGGCGGGTGGGGGAGTTCTTTAAGATTATTAATTAATGGTTATTGATTATTATAATTAATTGCATTGTTGTTGAACGTCCGTGACATACTGGCCATATACTTTGGCCATACTTTGGCTTTGTTGATTAATAAGTAATTATTATTGATCATTATAATTAATTGTATTGTTGTTGAACGTCCCTGACAGACTGGCCATACATTGGCTCTGTTGATTAATAATTAAGTATTGGTTATTGATTATTATAGTTAATTGTATTGTTATTATAGTTAATTGTATAGTGTATGTAAACGTCCCCGGCAGACGCGCGACGCCGCAAAGTCCGCGTAACTGAGGTGGAGGACCTCGTGAAGGAGGCCATCGCGGCGACGGTGAGCTCAGCTCTTCGTCAGGAGCTCGAGCCTCTCCACACCGCCCTCAGGATCGTCAAGCTCGACACCTTCACCGAGGGCATCGTCAGGCAGGTCTGTAGGACTTCCGTATGTTTATGATGATAGCTGAATAACATTATTTTAACACTGATCATTTACCATAAAGCTGGCTGAATACCATGCTACTAACACTGGTCTTTTACCACAAAGCTGGCCGAATACCATGCTATTAACACTGGTCTTTTACCATAAAGCTGGCCGAATACCATGCTACTAAACTAACAATAGTTACTAATAGTTAACGCTATTAACTAACTAATAGTTAACGGGATGCAAATTACGACGGATGCTTTCAGTGAAATGAGCCCGTTGAAATTTCTTGACTGTAGGACAAACTTCGATCTTATAGCATAATATATCAGTAGATGGAGATTTTTATTACTTAATAGGAGAGACATATGAGGCTAATTTTTTAACAATCCTAGAATTGAATCTGATGAACTTCTAGAATGTTTCAGAGAACTTTGAATGTTTCAGATAATTGAAGAATGATTCAACAACTCAAAATGTTTCAGATAATTGAACCTTACAATTATTTTGATGTATTCTGCTGTTAATAACTACTTAATGGGTAACAATGTTTTTTTTCACAATTTGAAGGTTTCTTTACAAGCATCTACTAATTTTTTATAGTTGTTTAGAAGCTCAGCTCGACTTTGTTCATGCGTGTGACGGTGTTTTTATTTACTCCAAAATTCACTCTGTATTTGTTTAACAAGCCTCGTGAATATATGCTTGCACCAGCCAGCAATTAAGCGAAGTACGCTACTCACAACATAATTTCTCAATTTTGGCTTAGCTTCAGGCACACAGCATCGCTTTCTTCCAATTCTTTTATCACATTTGCTTTGTGTTTTTCTTCTGTTGAGTGATAATATTTCGTCAGCCTTCCTCCCATCTTCTTCGTTGTGGGTTTGCAATAGAGTACAACTCGACTATATTATTTGGCGAGGCTTCCTTTAATCTATTGAACTAAATTCACATCAACTAAACTAACTGTACCATCATTTAAATTCGCCATAGTCTCCATCGTTAAGACGTCTCAGTGTAGTATTGTTACAGCAGATACTATATATATATACCCCGACATTATTTCAACGTAATAGTGATACTGCTAATAATATACGAATAATGCTAGTATTGATGACAGCTGAGCACACTAGAGCACATACAGAGCAAGCTGCTCACGGAGTATGGAGAGATGAGGGAGGCCGTCTCCCAGGCGTCCAGAAACGCTCAAGAGCTCGGTAAGTGTGCAAGGATAGAAGTGATATATGCCTTCAAGCGATATAAATGAGATAAATATTCTTATCCATATAGTCCTAAAACTCCTAAAGAAATCAGAATCGCTTAATGATAAAATTATATAAAATAAGATATTAAAATTATATTTAATATATCAAATACTATATAAAAATGAGATAAAAATTCATATCCATACAGTCATAAAATTCCTAAGGAAATCAGAATCCCTTAATATTAAAANCATGCAGGCCTCGGCAGCCTTCTCTGCCAGACTCACGGTGCGTGTAGGCTGCATGCAGGCCTCGGCAGCCTTCTCTGCCAGACTCACGGTGCGTGTAGGCTACATGCAGGCCTCGGCAGCCTTCTCCGCCAGACTCACGGTGCGCGTAGGCTTCATGCCGCACTTAGGAGCATTTTATTCTCACCAAGATTCATTCGTAATTCACGGCTCCACAGCATAAGTAAGGCTGGGTCCGTTTCTGTTATGAATTTTTTTCCCATGTGAACATCGAATTAGATGATGTATGTTGTGGATTTTATGTAGTATGTACGTACACCAGTCAACCGTCAAGCACATATAGATTAGAATCATTATGTTAGGAGATTTTTTGCAGGGCCTCTGAGCTCTTTTGTTTAGCTCGCTCATCTTCATTGCTAATTCAATTGGCTGCAAATGTAAACACACAAAGAAGAAAATGTCTTTAGACCCTTAACATATATTCAACTTTTTTCAGACTTAATATATGTACTCTGCTCACAGCAGCCTTCTGCATGACCGAGCGACTAACGAATAGTTATAACAATAAAATTTTCCAGCAGCCAATATTCTCCAGTTTTATATATTGTTTATGGAGTACAATTATCATGGGGTTATTCTCACTCTTTTTAGCGCATTTTCTCATTTATGGAAAAGAGGCGCTATTGTGCTCGTCATGTCCGTCCGTCCGTCTTTCCGTCCGTCTTTCCGTCCGTCTGTCCGTGACTTTACGTTTTTCGTCGATTTTGAAGAAATGCGCTCTCTGTCACTTACTGCAGTGAGTACTGAGTTATATTTTTTCGCAATACCCTAGACAAGAATGTGCTCAGGTAATGAAATGTCGCTCATGACATGGGTGTCAGATACGGCAAGGAAACAACGTTAAGTTTACCTTATTAATCTTTTATTCATTATTCGAGTTCAATGCAAATTAAATGACGTATACGCGGGTGCAGCGTAACTGGGCTACGAGAGCGGTTACTGGCCAGGGAAGCTCCTGACCAACGCGCGACGTGCTAGCTCTGCTACCAATGAACTCCAACAGTTTCGTTCCGTGCTGCTAAATAAATACCTATACAAATTTGCATTAAAACCGTCAATATCCATAAAAGTAACAAGATTTTAACTATGGATCTATTATCTTTATAAGTTAGCATTCTCCGTTTAATTTGTCGAGATATATGAATATATCTATTTATTATCAATTATGGACCATGCATAAGTTCGGATCCTTTTAAAGGGAAACTTGAAACCGCAAGCCCGCAATACCCCAAAATCGCTATTGTTGTGCCAGGCAATTTATGTAATTAAAATGTAAAGGAGCACGGAAGTTTATGATGGCACGAAAATTATAGTTTTAAGGCTAGTTTAAGTTCACACTATTAGTTTTAGTTCACTATTTTGTTATCTTACGAAATCTAGAATCTAAATATTAACGCCAACCTTAAAACTATGCTATTTTCGACAACATTTTTAAACAGGAAATTGATAGAAATAATTTCTTCTGTTGCAGGCAACAGAAAGACGTTTCAAAGACGATCTTGGCACACTCGAGAGCCGCTTGTCAGAGACCGTGAAGCGCTCACAGTTGGCGCTCGACTCGCGGCTGTTGAGCATCTCATCGGACACATCCAGACTCGTCAATAAGACAAGTCGGGATGTGGTTGACGCTGCGTCTGACAATAAACATGGCCTTTTCAGCGTAGACGATACGTCTGGCCAGTCTACAAAGTTTCCTTTTGGTCCTGGGCGTCCTTTCGGACCTTCGTTTTCATTGCCGAGGGCCTTCCCGAGTCCAAGTGTGTCTCCGCTGCAAGAAAGCAAAGCCACGCGAGACGACTTTCTGCTAGACCAAGCGGGATCCCAAAGCGAGGTACAGTGTAGATCCATGGGACTGCAATCTCTTGTTATTGTAGACACAAATTGCGTCTTACTGATGACTGGAACATACTAAACTTTCTGACTTGAAAATAATGTATTTGTGTCCAGATAGCCTGAATATCTGGGAGTAAAATTATTGGTAGACTGGAAAGGCAATGCTAAATTTTGAATTTTTTCTTTGAATATTTTGCTAATGTGAAAAGTTTAAGTACAAGTTTCGTAAATTCTCACGTATTGAACGCATTCGCCGTCTCGCGCCGCAGAAATAGACAAACAAACAATGTTCCGTCGTTTGATCAGACAAAAAACTTCATGATTTGAATTTGAGTTTGTCGACAGTTCAAGTTCAAGTGAAACAAAGAAGTGAAATTTTTAATCCTCTGAATTAACAGAAATATTTTTGTCCCGTACAATTTCACGGCTTGCTATTGAACTCGATAAGTTTTATTGTGCAGGTGATTGCTCTCGCTAAGCAGTAGACTCTGCTTGTGTTTGAGGCATTTAATTCTTCTCACTTCATCCTAAAAAACTAGGAACGCATTTCGTAGCATCGTGCAATTTTCCTCCTTTTGGGGTTTTTGAATTCAAAACGACCTTCAATTACATGGCGAAAAAATTGGTATTGGAATTGAAAATTCTTCGCAATTGCGCGTACAATAAAGAATAAATCTACTTGATTTCTGTCTCTAACCTAAAATACTCACTATTAATGCAATTACATATAGCAAATAGAAATTTCCCGAAAATTCCTTTTATCTGTGGACATTTTTACCATCTCAGCTGTGATATGTGATTATAAGTTACTGTAACCGTCCTCAGAGTACGGCCAGGACCGACCACCTGACGGACAGCCTCACCCTCCAGCCGTTCCCCTCTTGGGGTCGCGCTGAGATGGTCAACCTCGCGGTCGTCACGAGACTCGCCGCTGAAATTGCCACTAGGATCTCTAAAGACGCGCTAAGTGAGTCCGCATATTCTGATTATATGGATTAAAGTTTAAGTTTTCTTCGCATTTAAAATTATTGCGTTTGAGATCAGTCAAGCCCAAGTTTGGGTCGATAAATTAACAGTTATGACTATATTAATGGAGTCAATTGTGGCTACAAGCAGTTAACCGACTAATATTAATTATGTTAACTATTGTTGCAGTTGGAAACATAATTCTTCCAGTTTATATTAGTTGTTCCAGTTAGAACAAATCTTTATAAGCGTTCGGCACAGCATAAAGATTAACAATTTACTAACTACGTTGAAAATTATCAATTCTCAACTAAATTATTGAAGTTTAAAAAATAATTTTTCCAGTTAATATTAGTTGTTCCAGTTAAAAATCCTTGCAAGCTTTATGCACAGTGTAAGGATAGGTTGAAAAATGAATCCTCCAGTTAAAATTAGTAGTTACAGTTAGAACAAATCCTTGTAAACGCTCGGCAAAGTGTAAACAGAGTTTGGAAAATCAGTTCTCCAGTTAATATTAATAAGACTGCTCCGACATCGCTGCTGGGGGCGAGGCGAAGAGCGGCGTGTACGTCATCCAGCCCGCCGTGTGCTCCTTCAGGGTGGCCGTCAAGGTGGGCATCATCTATAGCACTTACATTGCTTGCTTGGTATTGATCGCTTAGTTAATTTTGCATTAACGATAAACCACACTTACATTGCTTGCTTGGTATTGATCACTTATTTAATTTTGCAAGCAATGACACGTACATTACTTGCTTGGTATTGATCACTTATTTAATTTTGTAAACAATGACACATTATTTGCTTGGTATTGATCACTTATTTAATTTCGCAAACAATGACACATCATTTGCTGGGGTGTTGATCATTTATTTAATTTTGAGAACAGTGACACATTATTTGCTTGGGTATTGATCACTTATTAAATTATTTAATTTTGCAAACAATGACACATTACTTGCTTGGGTATTGATCACTTATTTAATTTTGTAAACAATGACACATTATTTGCTTGGTATTGATCACTTATTTAATTTTGCAAACATGATATATTAATGCACTGTGTATTTCTCTACCAAACTTAAATGAAGATTCCACTTACATGGGTTTTGATCACTCATTTAACCCTTTTCAGATATTAACTCAATATTTCCGTGTATTTCAATCGAATTTGAATAAAGTTTTCTATCTAATGCATGAATCTAAACAATAACTAAAGTACCGATTGTGTGATTTTGTGGAACTGAAATTATTCGTTCACACAATTAAAAACTCGAGGTGATGTCGAGATTGTGTTTGTGAATTTTTTTGGTGTATTGTTGTGTGTTTACCTGATTTTTGTTCATGAGTGAAATTGATGGACTACGATGTAAGGCACGATAGACTGCTCGTAAGTTATAATAACACGTAAGTTATATAATGAAAAATTAATTACAGTATTTAAAAAAAAGCGAGAAGTACGCGTGAAAATGTGTAACACACAAAGAAAAATTCGAACTATTAGCTGAACTAAAGAAGCGATGCTTGAATATAAATTAAGAATGAATTGGCAATGAAAACTGCTAGAGAAATCCCAAGTAATTTGATCGCTGTGCAACCGAGTCGAGAATTATCTTATGAGAAGCAAGCGNTATAAAATGGTATGCACGTTGCTGGAACGGTTATTTCGTTTATATCTATGCTTTTTCTCTATCAATAAAATTAATCACTAACTTTGATCGATCGGATCGAGAGTTCTATTGACCTAAAAAAAATTGATAATCGGGTTTTCATTGCAGAACCGTCCTCCATATTTGAATTACCTATACTGTGTTGTAATTACTTTCCGTTAATTCGATCCCGTTTCCTTGAAATTAATTTTTTACTTGCGTTTTTTTTTTGTACAAAACATAACAGTATTTATGTCATCGAATAATTTAGATGTAGGCGTTCTTCAAACCTAATGAATTGTTGTAAACACATGCTCATGTAATGACCAATATACTCGTCCCTACGTACAATTAACAAGCTACGTGTCTCTACTTGGTGCGTATTTTTACGATGTGTACAGGAAGTAAGCAGGCCTTATGTTAATTTCTTCCTTCATTGCCGCTCGCTGGAAGCTCGTGGTTTTTAAATTTCAATTGCACACTCAATCATGACAAGTGCAAGCCGTATGATTTTCAAATCCTAATCTCAGTAAATTGTTAAAACTGTCTTTTTGTAGCTGACTGGAGTTTAAAACCATTTTCACAAGTCTTTCCTCCAATGAATAACATTGAAATTAGAATGCCATTTTAAAATTGTAATTGTTTTGTTGCACTGCGTGGGACCAACAACTTCTTGTTAGTCTTACGCTTGACGCACTCGGCGGGATCACATGACGACTCGGGCGGGGGTAAACAAGGACGAGCGAGAGTGAATGCACTGTCAAAGCTGCCATCTCACACGTGCCTCGTGTAAACAAAGTTGTCGTAAACGAATTCTGACCATCATTGTGAGCAAGTCCCGATGAATTCTGACCATCATTGGTAACAAGTCCCAGGAAATTCCGACCATCGTTGTGAACAATTTCCTATGAATTCTGACCATCATTGTTAGCAAGTCCCAATGAATTATGACAATCATTGTAAACAAATCCCAATGAATTCTGGCCATCATTGTGAGCAAGTCCCAATGAATTCTGGCCATCATTGTGAGCAAGTCCCAATGAATTCTGGCCAGCATTGTGAGCAAGTCCAAATGAATTCTGACCATCATTGTTAGCAAGTCCCAATGAATTCTGACCATCACTTTGGACAAGTCCCAATGCATCCATTACAAACGCTGGTTCCGTGTCTCGTCTTAGTGAACTCTTACTGCCGCAACTTATTAAGTTATTGTGAGGGATCGCAGAATAAAATGCGTGTTGAACTGGCCTCTGATTTAACTCTCATCGGTTAGAAGGGCTCTCTTTTATGCTAAACTGTTGACTTTTCAGCCCAAAAGTTAATCCTGAAACTATGTTACCTCGAAACAAGTACAGTTTTTAGCTGATTCATTTCGGATATTTTTATTATTGAAGTATGGGCATTTTGTTTAATCAGTTCCTACTTGCTGGCCTTGAGTAGGTTCAATTTTTTATGTCAGGGCTGCATTGTTATTTCCCTGATCTCTTATATTGCTCTTGTGGTTGTGGAGTTCTATTACCAATTTATTATTTTTCTATTTTCACGAAGCTCACATTTTGGTACGGTCGTTCCATCCTTATTGTAAATTACAAAGAAATCTAACTGTGGAATGAGGCGTTTGTTTATTAATTACGCAAATTTGTTTTTTTTAATTAACGCACTAAATTTTTATTACTCAAATTTGATTTTTTTGTTATAAGCTTAATAGTAATGCAGATGGTTCATTTTTTACATGATGCTGTAAAGAAGCAGGTTTTCTACCGTCTAATTCTAAGCAATTTTCGAATATCAATGGTAATCAACTTGCAGATCGGGTATATCAAAGCAAAATGCTAGGAACAATGATATGAATTTCGCAGCTGTTGCAATTTATGCAGCTGCGAGGCGTAATTTAGTTCGAAACTATTCAATTCAATTCATTTTTAAGTAGGTATATTTTTTATGGGCACTTCTTCAGTGTAGAGCTCCTGCACGCCACTAATAATCGGTGATGTACTGTACTAAAAGCATAGATACTTTTAAGCCCCTACTACTGGAATCGCTAAGAATTCAAACATTCAACAAAGAGCGCGTGAATGCATGCATGCTACCGCTTACTTTGATATCGAAGCATTGTAGAGAAAGAAAAACAATGCATGTGCATGCCTGCGGATAATCTGAGGATGCATTGAGACACGTAATGACGGGTTGGTGCTGCGACTTATCATTAGAGTGCCATCTTGACTACCATCTTGACTGCCAGGCACTTCAAACTTATGAGGTTTTGGCCAAATTTTCTCTATAATGAGAACAGTAAATTATTATTCGCCTGAAAATCAATTTACATAAACACTACGTCGATGTACGTTGGCAGAAAATACCACAGAAGGAGTTTCGTGGATTAGAGCGGCCGGTTGCGAGGCAACAGTGTCTTGCAACAAGGTCGTCGCTAGTGGCAAGATTTTGGTTCTTACGCCTGCTTATTTCTCAAAGAAAATGAGTTCGGTTCAGGCTATAATGGTGACACATTAGAACACTTCACGACCTGGGTCACAGTGAATCAACATCGCTCCACTACGTTTTTTATTATACAGATGAAGGACGTATCAATTTTACATTAACTGTAATCACTGGTGCTAATGAATATTTTCACTAGTCGATCTTACAATAAAAAAATTGAAATAACGCAAAAGATAATGTCGAATTATGATAACAAACAAAAGAAGATTGTAAATTTTCAGTCGTAAAAATAGAAAAAAAAACTTCCATGACTGTTTGGAAGTAGACCAATGCACATCTTCAAGTCCAAGTACGGAAAGCAAAGGAAAAACACCAAATTAGTGCTAATCTTGGATATTTCTGTTTTAACCTAATTTTTTGATTAGAAATTACACAATGTGAATAGAAGTAGACAGATCTTGCCAGATATTTTCATTTGTTATCTTTAAAAAAATCCGTTGTATTTTTTGGTTGCTGTTCTTTTGAATGTTTCGTGTTTATTCTTTCAGCCACCAAACATCCTTCGTGCCAATTTTTGGAAGGGTCGCATTCAATGCCGCATCAAGAGTTTTTTTTAGAGACGGGAATGCTAATTACATCAATAAAAATATTTAAGTCGACGGATACTTGCAGCCATGTTAGAACAACACAATTGGGTAGCCCGTGAACAGAGAAACTGAGATCAACCTTCAACGTAATTTCACGTACAGTCACTTTTATCGTCAAATCACAGATGAAATCTAAAGACATGCTCCTGAATTTAGTGCTTATAAAGTTTACAGGAATATCGTAAACAAAGCGTTAGGTCTTTCATCATTTATGAGTGTTAAACTAGTGAGCTTATCTCACTGCTGTCCTTTTATTGCAATAAACGGTGTTGTCGAAGTTAAAGTTTTCATTCAGCACTTGGCTCCCAGAATGCCCCGAATTTGAATAAGTATAAATGAATTGCAGATTCTTAAACATTTTTTCGTATTGCGTGGCTATTTAAATTTTTATTCAAATTATTACATATCCATTTCAGTGATACGATTGATTTTAAAAAATTTTTGCTATACGACGTTATTTGGTCCGCAAGCGGCCAGCCAACTGATTCACTACTGCCCATGCAGTGCAGAGCGCTTTTTAGCGCATTTTCTCATTTATAGAAAAAATGCACTGTTGTGCTCACCTTATCCGTCCATCCGTCCGTCTGTCCATCCGTTTGTCCGTCCGTCCGTCCGTCTGTCCGTCCGTGACTTCACGTTTTCGTCGACGAGAAAATGCGCTCTCTGTCACTCACTGCAGTGAGTACTGAGTTATATTTTTCTTGCAGGTAAACCATACACATTATATTTTCATCGCAATGCGCTCGGCCTCAAACTAAACAACTAAATAGTTTCTAAAATTGTGGACAAGTGCAAAAATTAAATGTCTCCATCTTAACAATGGTAAACATGTTGAAATTCTAAGATTTATCAGAATAAGAGTCAAAGAGTCTTCGTGTGTATGAGAAGATTTTGATAGCAGGAAGACGAGGAGTGGAAATAAACGTCTATTGATATGTGAAAGGATCTCGATAGTTGTATAACAGACGTAAAGTAGTATGTCGTGTCAGGAATTTCGGGATTTTCCTCAATTGGCTTTGCTGTAAAAGCTGATGAAACCCAAAGAAAAAGCACTGTTATTTCTTATGTTGCCTTAGGTGAGAAAAAAATTCATTCCCAACGCTGACCTAAAAGTGAGAATATCAATAGAGATTCATAATTGAGCTTAGTGCACTAATTTATTATTATTTGGATATAATAAATTGAAATTCTTCAGCTTTGAACTCAAGGTACAAATCTCACGTAACCAAAACCGCAAATCGATTCAGAGCGAATGTATTAAAATGAATGTAGTTATTAAAGCGGCGGAGGAAGTATACTCGTTCACATGTTTTGACCTCATCTACAGCCATATCCAATTACGGAGCTTCCTGTTCACTGTTGACTTTTCAAAGAAGACTGCAGCGTCATGTTCCGTCCTGCCGCTGCTGCTGTAACCTCTACTTAATTACATAGGCTTTTATATCATCAACGTATAAGCCGCTGCTGCATATGCATGCATGTAACCTCACTAACCGGTGGTGCCGCGTCGTTCGTACTTAACATCGGCTTTTATATGTCATCAACGTATAATTTTTTTATGCATGGCGTTAGGTGCAATGACGAATACTTCTTGAATTAAATGAAATAGCGACTCTTTAATTTGCCGAGTAAATTATATTTCATATGAGTTCAATTTATGTAATGATATTTTTTTCATTTTTGCCATAACCTACCATTCACTTCAAATGTAAATTGATCATTTTTTAATGGAAGATTTGAAAATTGACCAAGGTATATAATATATTTCATCTACGGAGTTTACGTTACGCGTAGATATGTTGATACATGAGCACCCATTAATTTAAAATCATATTCGTTTACTTTCGATAAAAAGTAATCCTAAACCTATACTCGATAGACATTAACCGGAAACCTTCATGCTCATCCATCACATTCTGCAGAGCGCGTTAACAACAAACATCTGTCCGGAATTGATTCAAACTTTTACTTTCCACTACGTCTGGTGGCCACTGACGGCTTTATTTATATATCATTTATTTATCGAATGGGCCCCGACAATATAATAATGTGCCTCTAGTATTTGCGTTTAATGTGAAAGTGAAACCGCACTTCTGCATTGTGATGGCAATTCCTCAGCCTCGTTCATACTGTATGTTTAGCAACGGAGCTCATCTCTAAAACATTCCCGTCACTACAGTATAAGTTAAACGTAAGTTTGAAGCTCTTGTGTGCCTTATGTATGAACATATAAAAAGTTATTTCGACGTCATTGCAACACCCCTGATATAGATAATCTCAAGCGTTTCTACAGTTTTGGTGTGCTTCATGTATCAACTTAAAGAAGTATTCTGATTCCGACGTTATTGCAATACACCTGATATGGATATTCTATAACATAATTAAGTTGCCGTGTGCCGGCAGGTTTGGTGTGCCTCAAGTCCGAACATAAACTAATGTTCTCATTCAGACGGCACTGTATCACGCAGGATGTAGATATTCTACAGCATAATTAAGTTTCCACCTGCCAGCAGTGCTGGTGTGCCTCGAATGTACGGACATTTATAAGGAAGTGTTCTGATTTCTACGTTGTCGCAATACGTACGATGAAGATATTCTACAGCGCAAGTTGCTGCATGTTTGCAGATCTGGTGTATCTTCAGTACGGACAAAAATAAGTGATCTGATTCAGCCGGCACTTCTATATCAGATATAATATGATATGGATGTTCTTGAGCATAATTCAGTTGCCGTGTCCGGCAGGTTTTCTGTGCCTAATGTACGAACATAAACAAATGTTCTGATTCAGCCGGCATTGCTGCACATGATATAGATATTCTAAAGCATAATTCAGTTGCCATGTCCGGCAGGTTTGGTGCGCCTTATAGTTAGTTAGTTAGTTTAGTGGCCAAATGTTTACTAGCGCTTCAGCTATTTAGCTATCTCGCACCGAAAGTCAAGATGAACATCACCATAGAGATGGAAGGTCTCAATTATTCATCACCCACAAGAGGCGGAAGGTCTCAATTGTCCAGCCCGCTGAAGCTGGCTCGAAAGAAGCAGCGTTAGCATCTCAAAGAGACGANTGACATAGTGTTGCCATGTGCAGGCAACTTGTTGACATATTGTTGCCATGTGCAGGCAACTTGTTGACATATGTTGCCATGTGCAGGCAACTTGCTGACATAATGTTGCCATGTGCAGGCAACTTGTTGACATAGTGTTGCCATGTGCAGGCAACTTGTTGACATATTGTTGCCATGTGCAGGCAACTTGTTGACATAGTGTTGCCATGTGCAGGCAACGTGTTGACATATTGTTGCCATGTGCAGGCAACTTGTTGACATAGTGTTGCCATGTGCAGGCAACGTGTTGACATAATGTTGCCATGTGCAGGCAACTTGTTGACATAGTGTTGCCATGTGCAGGCAACGTGTTGACATAATGTTGCCATGTGCAGGCAACTTCTTGACATAGTGTTGCCATGTGCAGGCAAATTGTTGACATATTTACCGCCCTGTTCAGGCAAATTGTTGACATAGTGTTGCCCTGTGCAGGCAACTTGTTGACATAAGGTTCCTGTGCAGGCAAATTGTTGACATAATGTTGCCATGTGCAGGCAACTTGTTGACATAGTGTTGCCATGTGCAGGCAACTTGTTGACATAATTACCGCCATGTGCAGGCAAATTGTTGACATAATTACCGCCATGTGCAGGCAACTTGTTGACATATTTACCGCCATGTGTAGGCAACTTGTTGACACAGTGTTGCCATGTGCAGGCAACTTGCTGACATAATGTTGCCATGCGCAGGCAACTTGTTGACATAGTGTTGCCATGTGCAGGCAACTTGTTGACATAGTGTTGCCCTGTACAGGCAACGTGTTGACATATGTTGCCATGTGCAGGCAACGTGTTGACACAGTGTTGCCATGTGCAGGCAACATGTTGACAATGTATTCTTTGTATACTTTGAGCTTTTCTTTTCCGAGTGAACTTATGGTAAACTGGACTTAGTTTATTTGTAAATACATTGGATGTTTATAGATTCTTATTATAAGGTAAAGTACTCCTATTGGCAGGGTACTGGATTTGTCATTAATACAGAAAGTCGATTTCATACAACAACTGTTACTTATACTTAACACAGATGGAATTTTTTAATGGCTGGTGATCATGTTTAATCACTTGATACGTGCTTTAAAATGATTATATTTTTGTCACCCGTGTCCATTGCACCAAAACGTAAGATTGATAGTCTTGCTCGTGAACTGGTAGAATTTACGAGGCGAATAGAACTTCAGAAGTCACCACAGTGTAATCCAAGTAATTAAAATTTGTTATATTCATGTTGAAAGACAAAGTCTGAATTTCCTCGTACTGCTCGTTGTGTAGGACATTCCTCGAGGTCTGGTGAACTGATTTGGCATTCAAGTTTGAACATCATATTGGCCGCAACACTTCATTGCGAACAAGAAATTATTCTTTTGGGTCTGAGGGATATCTTTGAAGTTTATAACCAATATATGGCCTTAACTAATAGAGAGATGTTCTTAAAACCTCATATAGAGTCCGAATTCCCGTTGAATTCGTGGGAATTTCATCATTTCCAGTAATGAGCAATGTTTAATTATTTCTTAAAGTTGCTGTGTTCTTCTTTATTTGACTGAACAGTTTGTAAGCGTAAATAATTTGGCAGGAAATGAACACATTCACCAGCTGACGTCTTCAGGCGACTACGTCCTCCGCATCGAGCTGGAGGACTGGGCCGAGGAGCGACGCTGGGCGACCTACGAACATTTCTACCTCACCGGCGAGACTACNTAACAGGAGTCACGGCGTGCCATGAGGTAACGGGAGTCACGGCGTGCCATGAGGTAACAGGAGTCACGGCGTGCCATGAGGTAACAGGAGTCACGACGTGCCATGAGGTAACAGGCGTCACGGCGTGCCATGAGGTAACGGGAGTCACGGCGTGCCATAAGGTAACGGGAGTCACGACGTGCCATGAGATAACAGAAGTCACGGTGTCTGATTGATTTCAAATTATTTTTTGACCCGAACCTGAACAGGAATGGGCCACAGGCATAACTAACAGAGCCAACATTACAGTACTATATCAAAGCCGTTTCCCAGCAACTAATTCTATACCGTAATTTTACGGTTTTTAGAGTATCTACGGTAGTTAGAGGTGTCAGTAGGGTATTTACAGTATTTAGAGATAGTATTTAGAGGATCTGTAATTCTGAATTCAACATATACGGATCAGAAGGCATGGATCAGTAGGCATGGATTAGTATTCAGTATTAACGGATCAATATTCAGTATCAATGAATCAGTATTCAGTACGGTATCAATGAATCAGTATTCAGTATCAATGAATCAGTATTCAGTACGGTATCAATGAATCAGTATTCAGTATCAATGAATCAGTATTCAGTATCTATGGATCATTATTCATTAACTCCTGTTTAATATCGCCCCAATACCCGCCAGTCGCACCTGAACGGCCGCTACCACCGGTCCCCTCACCGCACCTACGGCGACGGCATCAACTGGATGACGTTCAAGGGACTCAATTACTCACACAAGTCCTCCCTCATGATGGTCAGGCCTGCTGCATATTCCGTGGGGCGCGGCGCTCCTGACGGTAGAGTTGCCGGCGACGCGAGGTCCACACTTAACGCTCCCCCGACCACATAACGCGCGCGTTATCTCCCAATAAAAGCTGGTAGAGTTTTAAGTGGCGTTGTAATTGCAGATAAGCACTAGTGTTATTCCTGTCTGAACTACTTAGTGGTTAATGAGCCGAAAATCTCGTTTTGGTTTCATCGCCTCGCCGAGTGGCCCAGTGGTTACAGTTCAGAGTACCGAAACTCGAGCAGTGAGTTGTGGGTTTGAACCCAGCTACCTACTGGGGTAGAAGGGATAGAGGTGTCCGGGCGTTTAAGCACTGCACAATTGTAACAGTGAATTGCTCTTTCGAAACCCGCAACATGCTGTGAATATTCTGCGATGTTAAGAATTGGTGTCAGGTACATAGTACACGCTGTACTATACAACTATGACCAAGTTAAGTGATTACAATTTCTTATTGTCTTAGCGCTCTGTGACACAAGGAATTTCTATTCGAGGTCATGATTGACAGACGTTCTTTTTTCCCGACAAATTCCGCGAATAATTTTTTTCAACTGGGTTGGCCGGATAAAATTTATGATAGGGGTACTTACTATTTAAATTTTAAAAACTGCGAAATAAAAATTGAATTTTTACACCGGAACCTACAAATATAATATTTTTGGCCTTTTCGTTCGAGGACTTGACCGTTTTTTCGCCCCTCTGGCAACCCTGTTCGAGATAATTGTCAAAACTATGTTTGTTAGCTTCGCTGACTCCTGGAAGCCAAGAAATTCATATACATAGTAATTCTGTGTTTAAACTGATCTTTTATAACTGTTCAAATATTAATTATACTGTTAAATAATGTACGAGTATTATAACTATGAACATAAAATATGTTATGCGACGGTGACATTATGTCTTTGCCTATATTTTAAATTTCTTGTAAACAAGCAAATTTAAAGAGTGTTTGAATTGATGAATCTTACAGGTATGATCCTTCAGAAACAGGAAGTTCGTTGTCTAACAGAAGTTACTTAATATATAGTCGAGTCATTGAGCTGCCAAATTTTGGGAAAGGCTTTGGTATTTCCTACATGAAATTCCATACCCTGACGAATTTAAGTAAAGATATTGAATTATTATTTTTTTAACAGCGACTAATTATACAATACGTGCTAACCTGGACACTGAAGTGGTCAAATGCTCTGATATTATTGCACTCATTGTTTCATTGCATTGACATTTATATAATGAAATATGTATAAACCGTCCGTTGAAAATTAATTGAAACTATTCTATTTAGACATACTTAAATTATAAATACTTATAGAGAGCGTGGAATGAGGCGGTTTTGTTCATGTTGAGACGGAGAATGATCGAGGGCTGTCGTAAGCATCAACCGAAGTATCAAGTGTTTCTGAAAATAAGTTTCATTAATAATTTATCCGTAACATTGCAACGCCGTTGATTCGGTAAGAAAGTTGCCCGAGAAGTTCTCGAGTAGTTTGGTTAGTGCTGGGAGGAAGAGACGTTTCGCTCCCGCGGCTCTTTGTTTGAGAAAAATTGTAAGTTATTGAAGAAGGAAAATCTTCTCGTTTACCATCTACCCGTTGAAAAAACAGCACGAATATATTAATATTGATAATTATTATATTTGAAGAGCATGTCTCTCTTGAATATCAAGAGGGAAGAGTTCATCTTTGTTGTGGACTTGTTTGTAAATTTATTTCGTTACAAACGATTGTGTTCAGTAAAAATATTGTATGATTATAAATGTCAAAAGATAAAAATAATATTAAATTGGCTGGGCGAATTGAGTTACTTTTGAGAAATGACTCGGGTTAGGAAGTAACTTCTTAATATCTTTAAATTTTACATCAGTTCTCTTATTGTTTATCTTTGATTTCATTTATTGATATCGTCTTTCATATTCGAGCGCCGGCATGTTGAGGCATGCTCGTGAATCTTGTTCTAAGTGGCGGTGCTTAGAACTTGTGAATACAAAAAGCTGCTCTTCTATATTTCCAATAACAGCTAAACATTAATGAGGCATCAAATGCAGATGCCTGAATAACCTGTAAATACTTGACGTGTTTCGTAGCGTGATGTACATGTACGGTAGAGCGCGCGATCATATATGTACATACGTTATATCAGTGACATATTGTAACCATGACAATGTTTATCGACTCTTATACTTAGTGTGTGAATGATGGTGAGTGATGTAATCATCAATTTTTCTATTGGTATCACAAGTAGTTTGGAGCTTTAGTACCTTAAAACTGAATGGCCCGACTCCTACACATCGCTATTTCTGACCTTTGGGAAAGCGTTTCGGATGGAGGAAATCTGAAATTGTATCGTTTTGGGCCACTTGTCGTATGAATGTTAGAATGTTGAAGATTATCTTTCAATAATTTTTAATTTGTACTCCAAGTTCCTACGTCAATTATCCGGAAAAATTTAAACATTTTGTTAATTGTTAAAAATTATTGATGTTATTTTATGAAATATATCTCTTGTTGACTGAACAAATTCTCGAAAACAATAAATCTATAAATAAATAAATCTAAGTCTCGATTCGAATATGTAAATAGACGAGGTAATCCAGTTAGCAATTTCTCCTAAACCCAGTATATTTCATGTGAACTGTTTGTTGTTCGTTGAAAGTCACGCTTATATGTTATAATAAACTAAACATATAAAATGTATCTAAAACATCTTTCCATTCCTGCTCAGTAAACATGATATCACGACCAGTGAAAATATGTCACAAATAATTTATTCAGAGCATTCCTGGAAACAAAAGGGACTCATTACGTACTGTGAAAAATATTGTCTTGTCGAAAGATTTGTATTGTTTTCATTGTACCATCGTTCATACAACCTGATTTATTGGAGGCGAGAAAATGAGATGTTATTCCCTTAAACTATATCAGGTGTTGCCATATATACCTGATATGATATCATATGATAGAGAATATGATAGAGAATATAAGACAAATATAACACATTTCCAAAGTTTATTCGATGCCTAAAACATTCGTGGCTTTTAACCCCTACATTGCCTATGAAGCCTTATATGTTCTGCTTCACGAACATCAAGTCTATGGTGATGTTGACTCAAAATATAAGAAAAGTATCTATACGCTTTTCCATCTATACTCACATTTTGCGAAATAACTAGGGGTGAAGAAGTAACTTCTTTTTATTACGTTAAAATTTTACATCAGTTTACTTCTTGTTTTTCTTTGATGAACTTCTTGTTTCTTTTCTTTGCAAATAATATTTTGCAGACTTGAAGGAAGGAGCCTGTGCTCTCCTCGCCGAATTTGTGCAGGATTTGAACTTGTTACTCTACACGAAGGATTCTCGTCCAGAGATCAGGGTAAAGGAAGCAAGGACTTTTAGTAAGTTTCGAGTGAAATGTATTTACCATCGAGCTACATTATTATTTCAATAAGATCAGCAACTAAAAGATTCAACAACTAATGGCACGACATTTAGAAAGGATAGTATTATAGAAATGTTGAATCACGCGTTTTCTAACATTTATAATTTTCTGGACATTTGAAAAAAATTCATTCAAGTCTTATCAGTCCGAAGTGCCAGAGAGTAAGCATAGAACAGAATAGAAGTGTCGGCACTTCAAAAAATAAAATACATAACATAAAATATTACCACCCCAAGGTCGAAGTTATAAAAAGTAAAAATTAGGAGTATTTTTTTGATCGTTAGTATGTCGCCATTTGTAATTAAGCCTTGAACTCGAAGCTTCTAGGCAGATTTTTTGAGAACTTGCATGGATGCGTAGGGCGGTATTCATTTGTCATCCAACAATCCGCCTATGGAAGGAGTAGCAGCTCGTAGCATATCTCGATCTTTAGTTTTGGACATCGTATATATAATTATATACGATGAATTAGTCCATATATGAAAATTATAATTATAATTATAATTTTCATGTTGTATCCTATTTACTTGTATCATGTACTTATCTCTCTTATAAAATTTCTGTATTCAATGCTTCCTGTAACTTGAAAATGAATGTTGTTACATTCGAAACGTCGTTAATAAAGTGATATTACTCCCTTGAACCTGCATTTTGATCAACTAATGTCATCTGAAGAATATTTTTCGACCCTGAAAAATTAAATTGACGAATTCTCTGGCCATTAACCACCCGTGTTGAAACAAGCTTGTTCTGCCTTCTGATCCTAACATATAATTATATATATATGAATATTGCAAACGAATATTATTTTAAGTAAATTGGGTGCCATCGATTGCTGTCTTTAACAATACGAGGTTGTTAAATCAAATCATGTTCATTTCGTTGCCATGTGATCATAAGAAAAAAATATAGTTTTATCCACCAGCAATATAATGCTCATGCAAAATCAGAAGCAACATTAACATGTCAAACTCTTAAGAGTATTCATGATCAAGCGCCGTTTGTACAACAAATCGGAACCATGCAGCCGTCTCGGCGAACTTCAGTATAACAATTAGACGGACAGACTGGACGAGCGTGTACCATACATTTTCTGTTACTGGCTCCGTGATGATGTGAACTGTGTCCCGAGCTCTCCATTTGATGCCGAGGTTCCACTTGGCCGTCATCTCCTACATCGTCGAAGTCATCAATGAAGACATCATCGGACCCTGAGCCCTCAACCGCTGTCGACTGCTGCTGTGTCAGGCTTCCGTCTTTCAATAAACGGGTTGGAGTGACAGCGGTTCTTGCAGAGCTTGGTGGTTGTTCCGCGACTCGGAGCGGAATTTGAATCGGGATTTTAGACTTCAAATGATCATCGTCCAGAAAATTTAACTCGGCAAGTTTTTGTTCCTGCGAAGAGAAAAATTTCTTTAGTTTTTACCATTGTATATAGGCGGAGAAGCTCGAAAAAAAGTTTGCAATAACATTGACTGATCGATAACTAGGTATCAATATTGCAGAGCTCAAGATAATTTATAACCATGAAAATTTTTTTGACCAAACCTTTCTCAATGAATTACGTATTACGTATAAATAGTTAAGGATTTGTAGTTATTTTATCAGGCTGCTCGAAATCACTCACCACAGCTTTTTTGAATTCCAGCAGTTGTGCCAGCTGAAAGAACAAAACGATGTAAATCAGGATATTATGCGATAAAAATAATCTCAATTAGTTAGTTGAAGTCTATTTTTTTAATAAAATTTCTTTCTGCACTATAAAGAACTTTCGCAGGATAAACTTTCATATCTGTTCATCTATAAAGATTGTATTGACAGGCGTACAAGTCAAAGTAAAAATTTGACTACTAATACACTTGGGGAAATTTTATTTTATTATAACTAAAAATGGCCATTGAGGACGTTTACCTCCAAAAGTTAAGCTTTGTCTCAGTGTTTCGATGCAATAGCTGTGGATTGGTTTATTTTAAAGGTTGGCGTTCTTATTTTTGCGAAAAATACAAGATTATGCACCACGATGTTCGAAAAATTATGAAGCAAACAATGTATGTGGCCGAGTCAGTAATTGGACCAAATAACCTTTCACCAAATCCAAGATGAAAAATTTAGCAAAGACTTTAATGTGGCCTGGTGACGCAAGCGACAGTTCATTGTGCCATCTTTGAGATCCGAAAATAACGAAAAGCTCGTAAATAGAGAAAATTCTGCCACATTCTCTCCGCTCTCACGTCATGTAGGCTGTTAAATGACGAATCCATGTAATTTCTGCCAGTACACGACGGTCTTCCACGACATAGACACCTGGGTGCTCCCAAATACATCATGACTTTACTTCAAGCATACCACGGGCATTATCAAGCATCACTATGTCTCTTGAAGCAAATTATAAGATTTTCTTAGATCACACCATGAAGTTTTTTCATGCATAGCACGGATTTTCGTCACTCCACCATTGGATTTATGCGACACTCCTCGCCAGATTTCGTTCAGCCGCGCTCGCGACGAATTTGGACATAGATGAAAGACAGCCTCCAGCACGAGCGTTTACGCTGCTGCATCATTGTATTTGTATCTGTATTTGTATCACTTTGGACTCAACAGAAAACAAAAAAAAATTCATGTATCAATATATGTGGCAAAGGTGAGTTGAGTGAAATGAATGAAATGCGGCTACGAGCAACATACAGCGTATGTTGTTCAGAAAATGAAGAATCGTTTCCAGCGAACAGGCTGACTGCTACAATTCAAACATCGATTTTTATGTAGGATGCCCTAACTTTTTGTTACCCTTGAATCTCTAGGTTGTCAATATTATTTCATTGATAAACATTCAAATGGGCGTGCAATAAAAACAAAACCCCGGAACGCAAGTTGTTTGTGATGTCATTTCGCACCTCCAGCGAGAAGCAACGCTGGAAAGACGCGATGGAGTTAGCCAGGGCTCAAATTTAGAAAATTAAGTAAAACAATTTTCTATGTAAACTTCGATCTTGTTTGCCTGCTATACTTCCATGCATTGTTAACTTTCAACTGTTTAGGAAATTTCATTATGTGTTTGCCAAGTTGCTCTCCGCTCATTTCAATTTTCTCACAATTACTAAATTAAAATATTAAATAAAATAATCATTGTAACAACGCCATGCACCACCATGTTGCCGCACCAGAGTTAATTATTCAGAAAGAATAAATCGACGCAATCGTAAGTTTTAGCGGGAGTGTTAGGATTAACAAAACTCTGGTTTTCACTATGTTGTTTCTTTCTTCGCATAAATATACTGTGATCTTATAAACATGAGCCACATTACATTTATCCTTACCGTTGCAGTGGTGTTTGAGTTAGCTGCCAGCAAGGCCGCCATGTCCGCGCAACAGTCTCCAGATTTTACCTCTTGAGTTATCTGTAGAATGAGAAACTCAGTTTGAAATTAATGATCAGTTAATAATTGAGTCAATTGAAAAGATCAGTTGAAATTAATTCTTATAGGACAACCAAACCAATTGAAAATGCTGAGGGGCAGGAAAGAGCAGGAATGTATGTGTTGGAAAATTCCGAATCGATAAAATATGATGACATTCATGAAAAAAATTATATCAGTACTCACTGCAGTGAGTGACAGAGAGCGCATTTTCTCAGTCACGGACGGACGGATATGACGAGAACAATAGCGCCTTTTTTATAAATGAAAAATATGCACAAAAAATATTTTGAATTCTGTGAAAATTAACGAATAACCCATTTTCCGTGAATATGAGCTCTGGTATCTAGTAAAGGATGAAATAATTATAAAATTAGGAATGTACAGTTCCACATTGAATTTGCCATTATTTTTCCACATTGAATATGCAGTTAATTCTAAAAACATTGTGATTTTTAATACTGTCCTCGGCAGCACACAAAATCCCGGAACTAAGTGCGTTCACAAGCATAACACAAAGAAAGTGCGTTGGGACGCAAACTTATGAGGGGATCAAAAAAATCCTTATCTTTTCCGTTGCCTGATGGAATGTGTGATAAGCCACTTGAGATCGTTCATAGGATGTTAACAGCCGGGTACAACGTCAACCTTTTGTACCTAGCAAGTCATCACATTGGACAGCTTGATTTCTCTAATAAATGGACCACCAAATGAAAAACGGATGTTGGAGACAGGAAATATGAATTGGGGCGGTGTCTTTATCACCGATATAGCGCTAAGGGGATTGGCATTCAACATTATGATAAAAAAGATAGGCGGGATTCACAGCATTGAATACAGTCACACAAATAAAAAATTCTTGCTGGTGTCGGCTTTACATTATGTCAAATATAGTATGAAAAGAATAAAAAATCTACAACATCTTTCCAAAATCAAGGAATAAGTTGATAAGTGGCTTGTCGTGATTCAAATCTGCTAATTAGCGATTCCTCAATGAAAATGATTTAAATTGAAACTTCTTGTCGAAATTTAAGATCATAAGCTGATTAATCATAACTGCAAACAAATACTCACGTTTTCACCGCCTGCTTCGACTGGATTCTTCTGCATCTTCTGCAAATGATAGTAATCAATCAAAATAACGAGTAAAATTGAGAGCCAAATTTTATCTACGTCATTTCTTAAAATGATCCAAATTATTGTTCGATAGGAATTTATGGGCAAGTTTTCACACATTATAAAATGTCGTTTTATATTTTTTGTAAAGCAAGCGTTGTTTGTGTAACGACCAGAAATCTTTTTACCAAAAAATTTTTACCAATTTTTCAACATGAGCGGCAGGGAAATATTTCTCGATTGGGGTAAAAGAAGTACTAACATAATCGAGGTAGAATAACACTAAACAGGCAACCAGGCTGACGATGCAGACTATTTCCAATAAATGCAGAAAGATGAAGCATTTTGAAGCCTTGCGCGCTGCGTTCTTTTCCATTCTTGGCGGCTCAGAGTCGGTGAAATTCCTCTGTAAATGGGTAAACAACAATTAATTGCTAAGCAGGTAGAGGAGAAGCTATTTAAAATGGTAGAAGCTGTGTACTAAACCAATCGCAGCGAAAAAATACGAGAAATTCGAATAGAAGCTATTTGAAATGGTAGAAGCTATGTGCTAAAAAATCGCAGCGAAAAATTTCGAGAAATTCAAATATTTTTGACATAAAAATTTTGGAAACTGCACATGTCATGTAAAGTTTCAGTCGGTGTGATACTATTCCTGACACACGAAATGAAGAGGCATACTTTCCACACGGGCAACATGACTCAGTTCTATAAGGCAAAAAAAAAATTATTAGAAATTTCATTAGGTTTTTGAGCATACGAAGCTTCTTCGGTATGTTGGAAAATTTAAAATATTCATAAGCGCAGGATAATTTAGGAGCGTTTGATAACATATCTGTGTTAAGCGCGCTAAATGATAACTTCGGTAATAGAATTTCAAATATTTATAAGATGAGTTTGCGTTCAAGTTCAGTGTTACTTTGTTTACCTGTTGGATAAGAGCCTTCTGCTGACATTTATCGTTTTCAGTTGGCAAACTCATAGGGTGTGTCGATGGAACAGAACAAGGAGGAACGCGAGGGTTACACAGACCGATCGTTACTAATGCGATGAGCTCTTCAGAACGCTAGCTTGCTTATCTCTGGAGAGATAAGAGCCACGACTATTGCAATCTATACAAGGGAGATCAAATAAATGGAAATATAGGCTTTGAGTCTAGACTTTAGTAGCAATAAGAACTGCCCACGGGACTATCGAGTTGAGAAACCACTTCATATGCTGCTTTATTGAGTATTTTATTGCTGACTCTTGCTGGATATCGGTATCGACTTCATTTAATGAAGCTTGAATGTTGCAATCTTTTTATAATACTGATGCCATAGCAAATGGTGAAGAGCTGCTGTGGAATAGCTTTAGCAACAGAAAACTGTTGGCTAAATCTGAACCAATTTAGATTGACGGATTCTTAATACTCAAATACATTTCTTATAGAATATGTTTGCATGTGGCATGCGTGTCACGCACATTGTATGACTTGTATCTATATATGCATCTCTTTTATAAGGCTAAACCCTTTCGTGCGAAGGAACGGGCATCAACGCATGTACGAAATTTTGAGTCCGAACTCTATAAAATCGGGAAACATTGTGCTTGTGTGTCTGTTCAGACAGTGAATAATGCAGATATTCCTGCCTCTGTTGTGATGCTGTGAGCTCTGGAAGACGACTTTCACGCCGAGAACGCTCCCTCGAGCCTACAGGTTTGATCAAAACAAAATGGCATTTCCCCACAACATGCATGGTGATTAAACAACAGGGAACGCAGCCTTACACCACCAATTTTGTGCACCAATAAGCCCTGAATCGAACGCCTTGGATCTCTCCGGACATCCACCAATCAGCCGTGAACCACTCGGCTTTGTCTTCCTACGGTCTCGCATAGAACCTACCCTGCACGGAAGCGCAGCAGTGCACCACCAATTTTGTGCACTAATAAGCGCTGAATCGAACGCCTTGGATCTCTCCGGACATCCACCAATCAGCCGTGAACCACTCGGCTTTGTCTTCCTCCGATCTCGCATAGAACCTGCCGTGCACCACCAGGCCGCGGATCGAATCTGACTTCCGGGCAGTGGTGGGCACAGTTCCGCTAATCCGCTAACCGCTAATTAGCGAAGCTAACTTTTTCCTTATCGGATTAGATGTTCAGCTAACTTTGAAAATCTTTAGCGGACCAATTAGCTTCCGCTAAATTTAGTTCCGCTAACTGGCAGTCCGCTAAAAATGTTTAAAAATCTCTGATTTAATGCTAAGCATCGTAAGCCGTGTGCCACGCCCACACTGACGGCTGACTACGTCATCAAATGTTCGTCAGCCAATCACGTCTTGTGTTACTGGCAGTAACACAAGACGTCCTGTACTGCAGTCCTCTGGTGGACGCAATGCTGGCAGGCATCACGAAAAGGTTTGGGTCCTTCCTAGAAAATAAGGAGTGCCAGCTGGCAGATGCCTTCCACCCTAAGTTTCGCCTGTTCTGGCTAGAACATAATCATAGCCATCTCAGCAGGGTACAGAAGGCCATGGAGACCGCCGTGGAGACAGCCCTGAGGGAGACCGTTGAGGAGGGCAGCACTTCGGCAGGCAACCCAAACAACAGCCGTTTCTGCGGGAATGGAATTTGCAGACATTCGATAGCTCCGACGTGACGGAATATAAAATTTTATTACTGATATTCGAGAAGATGATAGGAACCAGATGTTTAGATCATTCCTACAGGCTATCGTACCTCGTACAGTAAACATCGGGTAAAGCTCAGAAGCCGATCAAAAGCTTCGTCAACGATCATGCAGATATTTCTTTCGGTTAGGCTCGAGCCCAACTCGGCGAGGAATTCGGGAGTGAATTTAAGGCCACTGGTCACCATCCCTGGAGAGTTACGAATGTTATGAATCACCAACTGATGATGTGTATGAAGGAAGTTGCCAGGGAAGCAATTTGGAGGACCAAAAAAAAAATGGAGGCATAAGTCGAAGAAAAATTAGGAAATTCGGACGAATGTGAAGAGGTGGCATGAGGTGTAAAAAAATCAATGGCATGGAGACAATGCATGCATGCGGACCAACAGAGGAGAAGAAAATTCATCACACGAAACTCTGTTGTGGATTAGGAGCGAAGCAGATGAAATTAATTAACAGTGAATGGACTATAACGTGCACGTGAATGGATTGTATTCCTCAGGGTAAAGACAGGATAAGGGGCAGAAAAAGACTGCTTGGGGCTGTGAAGAAATTGATGCGATGAATGATTTATTTACGCAAGTCAAAAATTTTTTCTTCAGAACGCAAAGGTTTGAATGGTATAGACGAAGAAATTACAGAAGAGAGAGTGAAATAAGGGGTAAAAAGACTGAAGAATTATAAGGCAGCTGGAAGGCTTAGATACCGCACGAGATGTACTAGTATGGAGGTGGGAGTGCATTCAGCCGACTGACTGAACCACATTGTGTGGACAAATGAGTGTGTCCCTGATACGTGGAATGAAAGCTGGGTAATATTACTTCACAATGGAGGCCACAAGAGCAAGAAAGAACTCAAGAATTACAGACCGATTGCTCCTGCTAACGCTGGGGGTGAGATTTTCTGCGCGGTTATGAATGAGCGGATGCAACGATGCATGAGAGATGAAAGAGTGCATCGCGAAGAGCAGAATTGTTTTAGGTGTGGCAGGAGAGCAGAAGATAGTATATTTTATGTGAATGAACTGATCGGGAGAACGAAATGAGATGTAAAGCAAGTGTATTAGGCGTTTCTAGATGTAGATAGAGCACATGATCGGGTTGACAGAGAACTGCTATGTCAGAGGCTTGCAACAATTGGATTGAGTAAAAAAATATCTGAGGATCGTGAAAAGTATTTAGGTAAATTCTAAAGCAAAATTTAGACTGGGGTATGTTGAGACGGACTGGGTGAGGAGCAGGAGGGGCGTACGACAAGTATACACCCTGTCTCCGCTTGTCTTTAATCTTTACACAGAAAAGATAGTTGCGAAGGTGAGGAGAATGGATGCTGGTATGCGTGTGGGCGGCGAGAGGTTAGAAATGCTGTGATTACGAGTGAAAATAGTAAATAAGTAAAATAACACGAGTAAGCTGGACTGAGTAACTAATATGGTATACTTTAAAGTGCTGCACAAGTGCAAGCAAATCAGTAATGAAGTACTAAGGGAAGTGTATAAGGGTGTGGCAGTTCACAGTTTGATGTATGGATTGTATGTATTAACATATAGTGATGGTAAGCTAGATAAACTGGAAGTGATGAAGAATATAATGGTGAGATTGGCACTAGGAGCCCTCAGGTGGACGGCGGTTGAGGCCCTGATAGGTGACTGGGGTGGGGATAATCTTTAAGGAAAAAAATAATAGAATAGAAGTGTCGGCATTGAAGAAATTGGCCCATGGCCTGCTGCTGATTCATGTAATTTTCGTGACTGGATTCACAAGGAATCCGGCCTTTGGAACCTGATCTTTTCATAACTGACGATTGAAATAATGAACTGATGGTGAACGTTGGGAACGAAAGGTATACTCGTACACGTGGAACATAAGGGCGTGCAAATGGGCACGTATATTTCGTGCATTGGTGCGCGTTTGGTCTGCATGAGGCGTTGGTAAGCCAGGGGACCGTTGGGCCAACAGACAAACAGGAGGGCTTATACAGCGCACAGCTGAAATAGAATGGGATGAAATGGATAAAAAACGGCATAAATAAGAGAGTTTACGCATATGGGTTGAAGCTGTGGAAGCATTTATTGGGAAGAAATGAATCTCTCAAACTATATTAAATGAAAGGCTTGAAAGCAGTGCCAAAGTATAAATAAATGAATTATAGAAGTAGAGGTAGGGACCTACTGTTTTGTGTGAAGGAAGGGGCGCTGGGTGCGAATAGAAGAAAGGTACAAGTGGAATGAGAGGATGGAGGACCAATATTTACAGGATGAGAAGGAACTGCGGGGCACTTAGTGGTGGTATGTGAGGCGTAAGCGAGAAAACGACATTCTATGATGACCTCCTGGACAAAGCAGATCAACGCGTTTCCAATTCCAATCTGTTCGGTGATACCTAGGAGAGTTACATTATAAATACGAGCAGAGAGTTGCGTATTCAAGACAGCAACAACCAACAAGTTGTGAATATTTTACTACGTTTAGAACGGCACATATCTCATCATATCATGTTGATTGATTCCAAACTTGATGGACTCAGGAGTTCTATATTATTTATTTGAATCATATATAATAAATAAGCTAAACATAATTTCAATCCTGTTGTAAAATTTGCAAGAAATCTGAGTCGATAATTTAGTTTAAATAGTTCGAACACATCTACTTCCAATGAAAAAAAATCAAATTGAAGATAGATAATCAAGCATTATAGTGGAAAAATTCGTATGATTACTGCAAAAAATCGTAATAAAATTGTATCAGGTTTCAGCATTTTTACTCCTCGATTTTCTAATCTGTTTCTGCGGAAGTGAAGGCTGCTCATTTGTTTTTAGACGAAAAACGGAAACAATACCCAAGGTTCAGTTTCGACAGTTCTTCACTCGCGTCAAGAAATTTACTTAGTGATAAGTGGAAGTCTCGAATGGACTGTTGGACACTGGACAGTGATAGTCAGTGGCCAATCATAAACCTATCTCCTGCATTGAAACCGGTGATTCCAAGTTGTCTTTCAAATCAGAGTGTGCAATTCAGGCAATAGACTCACTTGAAAAACTGTTAACTGGGTTTATGTTTATCTAACGCCAACGGGTTCTAAGCTTCTAACCTTGTAGAAAAGTGAATACCTAACATGAAAAAGGCACGGCGGTCTTGCTGGGACTTGACTAATCCCGGAGCTGACTCAACAATAGAAATCTCAAATTCAGGGTGGAATATGGGAGGGGTATTTCATAAATGTGTGCTGCTGTGCATTTATCATTGGGCCTGGCCTGGCCAGGAGTCCAGGACGGTAGGACCCAGGGGCCAGGGCCTGCCGGGGCAGCCGGGCCAGGGTGCAAAGGTAAGGGTGCAAGCCCAAGCAGCATTGCCAACATGCCAAGATATGGTTTTTCAGCCACAAGCGTCACCGGCCATTTTCAAGATCTGTTGCGGGCGTTGCCAGGTAATTTTTAATAAGAAAGTGCTGCAAGCAACATTAATATTATATCCTTTACTAACCACGCATTGAAACACTTACAAAGTTTTACACAACGTAACTGATTTCCGGACAAGTTTCACTGCATCCCTTGGTCAGGAAGATGTGCCAGGTGTGCGGGAATTTATTTTGTCATTTTAACGACCTGCGCAGTGCGCCGTACTATGCTGGTAAAAAAATGTGCCATCATGCCGCCATGCGCCGTACTTTAGAAAGCGAAAATAGTTTAAATATGGACGTGCGCCACACTCAGGAAGATGTATATAAACGGGGAAATTTATCACGTAAATCAATCTAATTATATTTTTTATTGGAAACCATTATTGCTCAAATGAAGCAAAAATAAACGACAGACCATTGACTTATCTTGCAAATATATATATTCATATTATGTATCACATAGCGTAATTACGCTCTGTAATTATGCCATATTGACCTAATTTGTATAGTCCATTTACGCGCATTGTTATTAGGTATTGATCGTGTCGATTTTGCCGGCCGGGAGGATCATACTGTTGACATAGGTACAGGTTCATACCCTACTGCCGCAAGTGCAACCAGTCCAGTCATTCATTAGAAGGCACCGATGGCACATCTATAAAGCCATGTTGCCTTCTTTAGTTCTGTAATTCATGTCCGATTGAATTGTGATCTATGAATGAATATTCATTACTGTGCTGACTCTTAGAACCTGAGTCCTGAGTTGACGCGTTAGCAATCTAGTTAACTCGTATCCAACCACAACACAGTGCGGATTCACGTTTGTGTGTACGGTCAGTGTGATTACGTAATTTGCATTGCCGCGCGTCCATATTTAAACTATTTTAGCTTTCTAAAAGTACGGCGCTGTTGGCGCACGGCGCATTTTTTTACCGGCATAGTACGGCGCACCGCGCAGGTCGTTAAAATGGCAATATAAATTCCCGCGCACCTGGCACATCTTCCTGACCATGGGACGTGCGGCAACACAAATTACGCAATCTCACTGACCGTACACAAAAGTGTGTAGGTATCCGCATTGTGTTGTGGTTGGATATGAGTTAACTAGATTGCTAATGCATCAACTCAGGTTCTAAGAGTCAGCACAGTTATGAATATTCATTCATAGATCACAATTCAATCGGACACAAATTACAAAACTAAAGAAGGCAACATGGCTCTAGATGTGCCATCGGTGCCTTCTAATGAATGACTGGAGTCTGGACTGGTTGCGGCAAGTAGGGTATGAGTCAACAGTACGAACCTGCATGCCAATGTTGGGACTACATTCCCGACATCCTCCCGGCCGGCAAAATTGACACGATCAATACCTAATAACAATGCGCATAAATGGACTATACAAATTAGGTCAATATGGCATAATTTCAAAGCGTTATTAAACTATGCGATACAAAATATGACTACAGAACTATGCAATATTGAATGGCATTATTCATGCAAATCTGTATCTATTAGACTTTTACATTTTAAGATCTGATCATTCTGATGGAAGCAGCGAGCGTCCCTAGCAATACAAGGATGTATATAAAAACATTGATGATCTAGAAGCGGGCTTCGAAAAAAAAAAACATTTCAACGTGGTTCTAATTAAATAAAGATCATTAGGTACTTTTAGTATAATAAACATGAAGTCTCCCTATTAAAAAGTTATATTTCATTGGTCATCAAAGATCACAGTTTATATTAACTACGTGAGTCAAACTGACAATAATAAAATGATGTAAGACATGTCCGGGTTACTTCTGACTCTTCCGCTTGTCGGATACGGAACATACGGTAATCGTAAACTGCGGCTATTATACATACGAAATGTAAACAGACGGTGTTCAGTGTTGCCATATGACTTTGGAGAAAATTTATCGGAATTTTCCGGAAACCTTACTGTGTGCGCTTGCAGTTCTTCAGATTTCCAGTAATTTTGAAGTTATTTCTCATATGCAATAATTTCAATCCATATGTGTCGGCAAGATCTTCAGAACCAGGGTGCAGAACGTGGAAGCAGCGTTGCCAATATATGGGTTTTTAAGCCCAAAGCGCCGCCAACCATTTTCAAGATTTGTCGCCAGCCTGCCAGGTAATTTTTGATGAAAAGTCATTTATGCTGAGTAATGAAAAACTATTTACAAACCACGAACTTATTTACAAGGTTAGATGCACGTGTTACCCTAAATAACTGATTTTACCCTAAAATCTGTCCAATTGTACAATTGTCAATTGTCCAATTGTCAACTGAACATGTGATGATGCAGTCTGACCGCTGCCTCTAATGTGACCGCAACTACATTTTGTTTACATTTTTTTGGCGGGAACTCATCGCAACCAATTTCCGGGCAAGCTTTACTGCATCCTGATCCATCCAACGTCCAGAAACCTTACTTTTTTCTAAATAGTTGGCTGAAGACTGACAAATATATTAAATGCAAGAATTTCAATCTAAATGTGTTGGCAAGATCTTCTGAAGGCATAAATTTTGCTACTGAAGCGTCGCCAAAGATCTTGCAATATTCATCCACTCTCTGTGCAGTGGCTTCAGAATGCGTAAATTTTGCTGCTGATGCATTGCCAAAGATCTTGCGATATTCACCCACTTTCTGCACAGTGGAATTCATTGGATCTAAAAAATGTGTAATTAAATTTTACTGTATATTTAGTTGATATTTTAGAAGTTTAGAACTGATCATGATAGGGTAAGCACACCATGTTCCAACACCTTAAGGATGTAGCAAGAAATAAATGGCTATAAATAGATCACCGCATGCGCAACTTGAGTTCTGATTGGTTTATTTCACTCTCAAAACACCACACTATGCGCCAGCAATGATGAAACGTTGCAAACTGTTGCCATATTTATTTGAAAGCCTTTGCCCTTTAGAATTCAAATCTACAAAATCACTGAATTCTGACACTGTGTGTGACTAAATGTGGCATATTGTGAGACTAATTCTGACAGCACTTCAAAATTATAATTCGTAATTCTGACACCCTGTGTCAGAATACGACACCCTGTGTGTCTAAAACCATCTCTTGAATCAATCATCTATTAATTTATTGGTACCACTTAAAATCAGCAAATATAAGTATACTTAAAGGATTCCTAATATATTCACAGACTTATTTAAAAGTCTCAGACCATAATATTCTTTCTACACAAACAGTTTATCACTATTTAGTAAAGCAAGGTCAACTATCAACTTTCAAACGTGTTTCGATGTTCTCACTACTCTGACTTGGACTTTTGCTCTGCGGATTTAACATTTTCCGCTAGACCTAGTATTTTGCAGAAATCTTGCGCACAATAGTATGACATCACTATTTCAACCATCTACGCATGCGTGGAATTAAGACCAAGCTTAATATAGAGGAAAAAGTTGAGGGGTGTTGGAATTACCCACAGTGTCGGAATATGGTGTGTTTACCCTACTAGGCTGGATCTATCTTGAAATTTGAATAAATAAAACCACATTCCCAGAATTTCACCCTGAATTTAAGGTCAAAGATAACAATTTCATTGATGCAAAGACACCAAACCTTCATCAAGGCAGACAGCGGTTCCCAAATGTGCTTCTCCGTTGGCTGCAATTTATAATTGAAATGGCCAATGCACAATAATTGCCATGGACAGATGCACTTTACAATCAATCATTATGGTCAATGTGCAGTGATTAAACTAACAACATATTTGGGAAAGTAATTTTAAACTGATAATTTATTTTTATACTAATTTAATGTTGCACTTTTTAATTTACAGAAACAACATATTAAACAGGTAGGATTAAGTATTTATTTAGAACAGAGGTTTTTATTTGTGATGCATGATTTGTTATTTAACATTCTTATTCCAACAGAAAAACCTGAAATATAATGTAGAAAATCTTATATATGAAAACATATTTAATGCTTCTTGAAGTTTATGATGTTAATACAATGAGAAACTGAAATTGTTAATGAAAGTGTTAGTGCTGCTCATAAATAAAACCAGATGTCATTTTTATTGTGCAATTATGTTCAGTTGAAGCAAAAAGCATGTAAAAGTGAAAGCGAAGAAAATAGAATAAATAATTAAGTCTACACATGTCACATGACTCGCATCATCTGGCCAAGGTTTTTCATCAAGCTGTTAGTACTCTAACAATAAAATGGAAACTCCTGAAAGTTCTTCTGCTTCTTCCATCAGCTCTGAATCAATTTCAGCTGAAAATGATGTTTCTGATGACGTGTTAAACAAAGAAATGCTCTCACAAGAGCTCAACTCTTCCTCCAGTCCCTCAAAACTTCCAGAATTGCAACATGCAATGAAAAATTTCACCACCGATGGAGGACTTGTGAATGGTTATGTCAGTTCCATTCTTCATGATAAATTTATCAAGAATAATTCTGATAATAGCAATAATTATAAGTTTGACATTGCAAATTCCATAATAAATCATAAATCTGCTGATCTTATGAGACTCCTGAAAACTGCTGCTTTGCAACTCAATGACCCACAGACATCGGACCCAATGAAAGTTGCAGTTGTATTTGCTCTGGAAAATGTTCTTGTGAAATTCTTCAATGATTGTGAGTCAATTCATTCTGAGCCTTCTTTCATTGAACTCTTAATCAATGTTTATGAGGAAGTGCTTGGTTTGGAACCCTGCATACCATCAGATTTAATATCAGTTTTAACATGCCCCTTCAAAAAAGTTTTGCATCCCATCTTGGAAATGCCCAACATGATGGAACATGAACCTGATAGCACTCTTTCTGCCATTAATTTTTGTAAATTTAAAGAGTTCAGTGAACGAATCATGTTGAACAGTGATTCTATTTGTGTCAAAGAAGAAAAGGAAGAAAGTCCACAAAATTTGCAGTTCAATCGAGAATCAATTATTCCTCTTCTTGATAGTGTTAGTGCAGTATTCACTCAATTTTTCCCTAGTCTTTACGGGCAAAATGGCAAAGACTGTGGTAGTGTTCATGATTATCTTTCAAGTATATCATCTTTGCCATGCAATAATGAAGTCATTTGGAGCCAGCTACCCATAGTGTCTGAGTCATGCCCTATATTCAATGGTCAAGACATTAATTCAGTTGAGATGCAATCATCTGGACATAAGAAAACCAAGAAAATTAAAGTTCCTTGGAAATCGTTTGCTCAAAAGGTATTTTGATATTTAATTTTGCATGTATGAAAAGTTATGGGAACATTGGTAAAATTAGGCTTGCCAATTGCTTTGTTATTACAATCAATTTGTGCTGATCACAAATTAAAATTGATTTGTGCTGAACTTGCTTTCCAAAAAAATTATTTGCTTTTTCATGTTATGCATGCACTGTTTAATTGAAAATTCCTTTTATCACTTTCATTTTATTGTTGAAAATGAAATAAAATGTAATGTAAGCAAATATGTGAGTAAAATATTGAGATTATTAAATGGATGATCAGTACTGGTACGGTACTTTAGATACGAGATCAGTGTTGTGACTATTATTGATGAACTAAGAAACCAGTGTTGGTCAAGATACTAATACAGCTATGGTATCTAAGATTCATCACACATTGCTTAACTATACACTGATGTTCTTTCCTAAAATTTATGATGTGGTTCACAGGATACTGATGATCAGCTAGTCAACAATGAGAATGGAGATGCACAAGAGAAGTTGTTGCTTGATATGGCAGCTTTTCCTATGTGAGTTAAGTTGTCTTTAATTTTGAAAATCAATAACATAGGAAGACTTTTTCCCATAGGTTATCCTTACAGTTTACTTTACTGCAACTGACAAGATATCTTAACACATTGACTCTGAAGTGATACATATGCGTACCCCAAAATGTATTTCTCCAGGACGTACCGGTAGTGGTACATAAATCAGGCTGCCTAAGATCAGCCAAATCTGAGAACAAAAAAGGCTGATAACTCAATATACTGGTATACTAATTTATTTGTAGGTTCCACTATAAAAATTCCATTTTTTTCAGTATTTAAAATTTCATTAGTGAGTACCCCTATCATAAATTTTAGCCAGCCAACGCAATTTAGAAAAAATAAATCACGGAATTTGTCCGGAAAAAATGACCATCTGGTAACCCTGTTTAAAAGCAGTACCTACAAAAAATGAAATAATAGTACAAGATGAAGCAATCGGAGTCAAAGTGTTAAGCTTTGCAGAAAGCTAATGCATTGATATTTGTGACAGATAAATACGATCTTGTTTCTCTAACAAATTAATTGTCCAGACATTGGCATATGTACTGTACATAGGTACCATAAATCTTATAGGTAAGCATTGGCTAAATACCTACTTCTGCCTTCTGCTGTATTTCTAGTGGATGATTTTAATTAACTCATGTAGTACTACTAGATAAAATGAGGTTCATTTCACTAAAACTCTTGTCAAGCATTAACCATAATTTAAGAAATTTTAGGTAGACAAATTTCACTGATATTGTGCAGCCTAAAAAAAAATTTTTTTTAGAGCTCAAATTTATCTCTCTTGCTTCCTACAAATGGTCACGCTGTTGGATGTCCCTAGTACAAAACTGACATTTTTTACCATTAAAAAGTGGATAACACAAATCTTAGTTTTATGATTGCACAGTTAGTGCATAAATTAACAAAAAATCATGCTTCTCTAACTATGATTTTGGTAACAGAGTAACCTCTCATAATGTCTCCCGAGCCAATTGGTCATAAACCTTTCTGGTCTTGTTCTCAACTGGCTTCTGGGAAGCTTTACCAGCTACATGTTCGGCTCGTCATCACAGCTGATGAATGATTACATAATTTCACTTTTTATTTGAGTACATTGTGCATGGTTAGTTCCATATTTCATGATCTCTAATAGATTGAGATAGATATTATCCCTAAGAGATTTGTGTGCACTGAAATGATGTCAGAGAAGTCTCTGTCGCATAGAAAAAATTATCTTAGGCATTAGTGAGATGTTGGGACGATTTGGAACTTTTAATGGTTTTATTTTCCAGGAGAGGTAATGGCCTTACATGTGATAGCCCCTTCACCAGTGACAGTCGAAGTTGCTGCGCCTTTGGCTGCTCCAGTCCCGTGATACATCAAGATCCTCACAATACCTGTGCTGCCCACGCTACCTGCTCCCTCACGCTCGTGTTCACGCCTTGTTCATCATGCCTTGAATTGGCTACTAAAGTAGCGTCTGCTCCATCGGCGGTGTGGAAGGGCATTCTCTCATTTCGCTTTAATCAATTAAAATGCCTAAGAAAATCTAATGGGTTCAACTTTGATATAGCGTTTTCTAGTGATGCCGTCAAATATTTTTTTGAGATATTTGACTCGGCACTTAAATTTGATGAATTGACTTTTAAGCTACGACTCAGCGAATTGATTTTCCGGAATATTTTCTCGGCATCAAGCGAGCAGCACCACAATTCTGAGGCGGGAGTTTTATCGACGCTGTACAATGGCTGCGGAAGTGAAGCACCTCTACCCACTGCATCTCATAGTCGTCCATCTTCGCAGACTGCCGTGAGCATATACGTTATACTGAAACATTCCTTTTTTTATTTGTTGAAAAGATAGACGAAGCTACATTAATGTTGATCCTCCCATGATCTAGAAGTACTACCTCATTTGTCGTTAGAAGCGATTAAAAAAAATTTTGGTTAGGTTTAGCTTTTAACCGCTGCTTGAAATAACCGTATCATCCGTATCACTTCTTGATATGTAAGGATCTGTAATGGCTTAATATTACCGTAGCACTCACAGTGCTTAATGCTACAGCAGATTACTGCTACTGCAACAATGCTTGATGTCACCGTGGTTAATGCCACAGTGCTTAATGCCACAGCATCACTGCCATAGCATAGCACTTCCTCATAGCGCTTTATATTTGAATTAAATAATAAATTACCACATTTCTATGTGAGTCTAGGTACCCAATATTAAAGTTCTAAGTACCAGTTGCTTTGTTTCAGATTCTCAATGGCGCTGCGATTCACTCTCGCCTCAAACTAAAAAAGACTTCTGTTCCACGAAGGAAAAGTAAAGACTCCAGACATATATCTGCCGAATTCAGTGCAGCCGTAAGTAAAATATATACTTATATTTCGTACCAAATATAATATTTTACACCTAAAATTGTCTATTTGTATTGTCATCATAGTTTAATTGAAGCTGTACTTGAATTTACATAAAATAATTTTACTTATTGCAAAAGCGTGAGCTTATTTTGATTGTGTCTTGTACGGTGATAAACTCCCGCCGCAACCGCTCCTAAGACCGCCAGTGAGGCACAATAAATAAACTTCTATCGTCTCAGAACCATTGAGTAAATTTAATCAGCTCTAGATAACTATAACGACAATCAAAAACAACCATTACCGTACCTACTTTGCTCGCCCTCAACTTAGAGTTTATTTTTTCCCGGAGAAAAAGCCCAGCTACTACCTATAAGGTCTCTTGAAATATTCGATCACTCGATCATATCACTAAAGACTCGAGGGCCACCTTATAGGCAATTCGAGAATTTTCCGCCATTGGGATCGCACTGTAATCGATTAATTAGCTGTTTTGTCTCAGCTATGCGTGGACGCAGCACAACGTCTGCCTCATGTCAGATTCAGATTCATTCTGAGATATATTACTGAATAAAGACTGCGAGTGTGTTCATTTACGCTGCAGTTGCAAGAGAGGATTCGCGGAGCTAAATTCTTTTGACTCTTCGCTCTCCTATGAATAACTTATAATAGCGAACACAATTATCACCGCCCTTTATGTATCGCGAACGAGAACACTTGCTATTCAGCTTGTGTATGAAGATGTCCGAGCAGATCCATTCTTATGCATTGAATTTAGAATTTTCCACCATGATATACATTTTTGTGTAACTTCACAGCTTGACCTTGAAGTCATTTGTAGTAGTAGTAATTTTCTAATATTATAATGCTATTGCTTACTCATAGAAGCGTCGTGTTTTTTTCATGATCTGAAGACTGACGTCTGAGCACAATACGACTGCTGCACCATATTTGCTGAGTAATTTTTTTAAATGGGCAATCGCTCATTGTGTGTGTATAACCTCGCTTTAGAAGCTTATAAGAACCCTAACTTGAATGTGCATGTGTGCAACTGAGCAAAAATAAATTAGTCAACGTTGTCTTAACCAGGCTGACGGAGATGTGCCCAACGGAGCTGCATCGTGTTCCGGCAAATCTTTGGACTGCGTGGGCTCTCCAGACCTGGCGAAGATGGTGGTTCCTAGTGAGGACCCTGCCATTAAGCAGTCCCTGCAGCAGCTGCTGGCAGTCGACACGAATAACGTGAACATGTGTGACGCGCCTGACGAGTCTCGCCTGAGCCGCATGCTGTTATCTGACCCCAGGTCCTGGGATACAAGTCTTATTGTGGCGGCCATCAGGGCAAGGAAGGGCATCTTCAAGGAAGAAAAGGCGTCCAAAGCTGTCTTGAAGTGAGTTTAAGGACATCTAGCTTCTGTTGTTTTTTGAATATTTTTTCTTTTTTAAAATGCGTTAAATGGTCAATTGTTTTAATATGTTCTGAAACCTTGCGTCTCATCTTACTGCGCACTCCATTAGTCAAGTCCTGACCTTGCTTTAATGGTAGGTATCAAACATTTAGACATGACACTTGTGAATAGAAATGCCAAGTTTCTGATCCCGAATCTTTCTGATCGCAAATATTTAGATTTGCCGAGTTTCTGATCGCAAGTATTGAGGAGTGAGGCGAAATACGAGAAGAATTCAAAGACAACATTGGAGCGTGTAGTCTGTGTAGAGTAATATCTGAGTTGTAAATAATAATGTAATAATGGCGTGTAATATAATCTAATATCTGGGCAGTAGGTTGTTCTAAGGTGGCCGATGAATGAACTGCGGTCATTTAGAGCTTATTAGCTCTGGCCGTTAGCTGGTTATCTTTTTTTCATGGCCGGAAGATTGACCATAAGAACCCTCGAGCAAGAAACAGCTGAGTAGTTATTTACGACGTCTGTCTTCCTTCATTCTTTCCACAACGCCCCCATCGAGATTTTCACTCCACATGCGAGCATGATCGTTTTTGAATAGTTTTTTTGCGACAAAAATTAACAACATGAATACAAAAGATGAATATCGGTTAGGGATCAGGGAGAATTAGTAGTAAAATCCATTAAAACCTCAAAAAATGTATGTATGCCTAGACAATTCATGAATATTAATGTGCACAATTTTCTTTCACCATAACTGTTTGGATACAAAGGTAACATATTTTTTTGTTACAGTCCAGAGACAGCAAATACAATAGCTGAATAAGCATTAAAAAATTCATATTGGTATCTCATTCACGAGTGGAATTATGGTGAACCTTCTTAGTGAAAAAGTATAGGAACCTGCCAAACATTTCTGAGTTCTCGCGGCTCTCAATACACACAGACGATACACACTCACAACACACTCTCACCATACAAACTCACCATACACACTCACCATACACACTCACCACACACTCACCACACACTCACCACACACTCACAACACGCACTCACAACACTCACAACAAACACTCGCAACACACTCTCACAACACACACTGACAACACACACTCACAATACACACTCACAATGCGCACTCACAATACACTCTCACCATACACACTCACAACACACCCTCATAACACACCCTCACAATACACACTCACAGCAGCCTCATACCCTGAGCAGATACGTGCGCGCGAGCCTCTGCAAGTCCCACCACGAGGCGACATGTCTGGCGGAAATCTTGGTCAGCGACCACCCGCGTCTGGAGATCGTGAGTTTCTTGCATCGTCGCCTTTACTGTAATATTATGACTAGTTACCATTATAAATAAAATAATTTAATATTATTGGTAATAGAATTATTGAAAGTAATAGTATAAAGTATCAAATGTAACGCTGTTATCCAGTCCTGCAAGGTAAGGACCGAATATCAGGAATAAATTCAATTAACAAAGAAGTTTTTAGTTTTTGGAGCGATTAAATGCTTTTTGTTGGTTTAACATTTTGTTCTCCACTTTTATACTTTTCCAAGTCTATTTAAAATTGCTTCCAATTTCACATTTTATAAATTGCCATAAACTGCATAAACGTAGTGTACCTATTACCTGCCTTGATAGTATTGACTGTTGAAAAATTCCACCTTAACTATTACCTTTTTCAAGTAAAATGTCTCTGGAAATAGGTCCATAAATTCAGCATAGTCAACCTAAACAATGGTTTCGGCGAAATCTACGATTAAAATTCAATATCTAAATAATCAAAACGAAGGAAAAAATAGATTGAAAAACACTGAAAAACCTAACAAGAGTTCTTTGCCTTGGATACGAGCTGGTGGCGTTATTTATGAGATATTTTGTTCAAAAATTGCTAGGATTTAATAATTCTCAGGCCGAATGTGCCAAAGTTTATGCTAAAACTTGAAAATGAATCTCGATCCTCGGTTTTTTTGCATTGTTCAGCGTAAATGCGACCTGCTGAATGAGGTAAGTGCGCGAGTAGATTTTCAGTACGATAGCTAGAGCTCTGGGGCCACACTTTCAAAACTCGCTAAGTAAACGTAAGTATTTACACACTATTTTCTTGTCTATGATTGGTGGATTTTGCCTAAAAGACCGTCAATGATTGGCTTATGAACTCACGATCTTTTAACTTTTTTTGAAAGCTGGCTGTGTATCTACTCACCTTCTCTGTCGATTTTATACAAATTTCTCTATGACATACCGACGTACGGCGATGTAAAACTACGCTAAACATAAAAAGAATTAGTCCCTACGACTGAACATTTCCAAAAATTGTTGATTAAAATTCGTGATTTTGACATTCAGGATGAATTTCTCGAACTAAGTTTCAATTCTTTTGACATACGGTAGCTTCAGATGCAGGACTTATGTATCGTATTGCAACCTGTCAATTAAGTTTACTGAATTTTCTCTCCACTTGAAGTTATAGCGACCTCGAGACTAAATTATTGAGATGTTGTAATTATTGAGATGTTATAATTTGATGCAGGCACACGCCATGTTGGTGAGCGCACACCTTCGCCTGGGGCTGGAAGAGCAAGCGATGCGCTGCTGCCAACGCTGCATCGCTGTCGTCGCCGATGCTTCCGTCATCAAAGAATTCGTCCTGAACAGGGACTGCCGGCCTGTAAATATATTTATATAATAGAGCGCTTTCAGCGTTAATTAAGCAGTAGACCGGCCGTCGATTCTTAACATTCACACATCTCAGTGTTGATTGTTATTCTTAATTTGCAGTGTTGATTCTTATTCTCAGTGCGGTCTCGAACACGCTTCTCACTGCTCTAATTTTGCTGTGCTTAATCGCCCGACCTCCTCGGCGATTTGACCAGAACTATCACATGTAGCTAGGATTGAACCCACAACTTTCTGTTCCATTCCTGGTGCCCTGGGGTCATACTTTCAAAACTTGCTAAGTGAACGTAAGTACTTACGCTCTATTTTCTTGTCTATGATTGGTGGATTTTGCTTTAAAGGCCGTCAATGATTGGCTGATGAACTTACGATCTCTTAACTTTTTTTGAAAGTATAGGCCCTGAGCTGTAACTACTATGCCATCCTGCCCATGTTCAGCGTAGTGACGTGATGCACTGGATGTTACACTTTACACTCTGCTGCACCCTGTGCAAATTAATGTACGTTCTTTTGTATGATGTTTGTCTTTGTGCAATGATCCTGGTATGGAAGAATCAAGACAGTTGGGGAAACTTTCCTCTGCCTGTTTTAATAGTCAGAAGACATTCCAAATATGTGTTATGCTCGATGGTACGAATATTGCGACTGAAAAAGTTATTCAAACGCATGTGAAAGTTGTTGGCACCAGAAATATAAGCAGAAAGAAATAAGCACACGTGTAGAAATGATTACCTGTGGTAAATGAATTGAAACCTATGCATAAACTATGGTTTTCATTTGATGAATAAGAAATGCATCAATTTATGGGAAATTTATTAGTTATTGTTATCATATCAGACCAAGGCTTGTCACTGCGCGGACGAGTAGCTCGTACTCGGACATACAATACTTCATATGAGCCCTTTGCGCACGAAAGCTTAGCCATGAGTTGTTGATGACTTCAATCTCATATAATTAGATTCAGTTATGTTTTATTTCTGATGAAATAAGTTCCCGCAGAGCACGAGCACTGCAGTGGAGGGCGGGCGTGGGAGCTTCAGCAGCGACGTCTCTGGGGAGCTGGCGACGTCTTCCCTCCAAGACGAAGCTTCCTCCCACGACGTGAGGCTCCCGACCGTTGGGCGTACATGAGCATATAACCACTCCCACTTACTTTGTTTTGTTATGCAAATCCATTTCTAATTACTTTCTTCTTGTGTCTGTTCATTCCCACTTACTTTATCGCTTTGTGCCAGTCCACTCTCACTTTGTCTTCTTGTGTCATTTCATTCCTACTTACTTTCTTCTTGTGTCAGTCCACTCCCACTAACTTTATCTCCTTGTGGTAGTTCACTCCTTCACACCCAGCAGAATCCACTTTGTCCGTGACTAATTGCTATTGCACTTAGCTAATTGCTATTCGGTAGTTTGGCATATGCTTACTCTCATTTTCGTGGTTTCGAAATATTGTTTGCACTCTATGTACTCATGTGTTGTATATGATATTTTTGCGCAGGGTTTCTCGCCAGCACCGGATCGTTGCTGGCGAGGCTCTTCGTATCACATGAAGTCCTGTGATGAGAACCTCTCAACGGCTCGCGCTTCGGACCCCGTTGAACCTGCCGCATCTGATCAAGTCACGAGCCCCTACAGTGCTGGCGCTGTCAATAATAAAGTAAATGCTGTAGTTCTACAGCCATCACTGGCCTCAGCTCGCTGTGCCAAAGGCCCCAACTCGGACCCGAGTACGGCACCTGGAGCTGCCGAGCTGCCCAACGAGCTCATCGCGTCCATAATCCAGCGGTCGTCTGCCATCCAGGAAGACTCGAGTGAACAGCAGCTGAGGGATGACTCGGTGCAGCTTATAAGTGACGAACATCTCGTCGCGCTCAGCGTCCGGCAGCTCAATCAGCTCTTCCGAGGCTTGCCGCCATTTCTCATAAAAATTCTCAAGCAGAGAAGAAGGACGCTCAAAAATCGCGGGTATGCATACAGCTGCCGCCTCAAGCGTAAGAATGAGAGTGAGTCGCTCAGTGTCAAGTGCAGGAAGCTCACAAAAGCTCTGAATGAAGTTATCAAGGAAAATCAGAACCTCAGAGGAGCAAACAAGACTCTACGGAATGGCTATCGGCAACTTCTTCAAAGAGTCATGTCTTACGAAATTGATTTTAAACAAGACGCTGAAGTTGAGAGCTTGATGTCAAAGCCGGATCCACCTCCGTCCTTGATGCCGTTTGCCGACTTCCACACCAGAGAGCAAGACGATGATGAAGATGATGCTGAGAGCGGCGATGATGTTGTATGATGTCGTGTTTCTAACATAATTTTAAACTTAATTATAATCTATCAGCTATCGATGGCTTGAAATCCTTCGCGAGACTACGGTTCGGGAGTTATTTTATTTTATAATCTGTTAATCGATCGTTACAAGAAGTCAACTCATACGGTAGCTCGAGGACTTGTGTGTCAGCATTTGTATCGTCCCAACAAACCTCTTGTGAGAACTAAACATTCGTCTGCTGGGAGTGTAAATTATTATTAATCGACCTTGCTTGATCAATTTTTTTCATAATTTAACGCATCTCTTCGTAGTTATTTCACTAATGTATTTTTGATAGGAATGAAATCGGGCAAAATGTTCTAAAATGTGTCGAGTCTTGAACTTTTTGTCTCTCATAACCTGATGACTATTGGTGTAATAATGCTATAAATATGTTTCAATTTAATGTATTGATTCAGGCAACTGATGTGCTAAATTAATCTTGCAAATTCAATCACAAATTTTGCCTTCAAGTGTGAGATACATATATATAGTTGCTGACGTAGTTTGAATCGTTCATCAATATAATATTTTGTGTAACATGATTAATATAATTTATCTTTAAGGTGCGATTCGTAAATCAGATTTATTGTAATACTTCTAGCTTTAGATTCAATTGTGCCTTAATACATTAAGATTACTAGACATTGCTGTTATAAGTTGTAAGAGCTTCCCTCCGCTGCTAGGCTGTCTGCGTGTACCTCATCGTGAAACTCCAAGCAAACTCGTGTTGAAATTAACGTAAATCTCATACTGGCTTTTATTAGATACGATTTGTTTGCTCTCAATTTGATTTTTATTGCTTTTTTCTTACAAAATTCAAGTAATGTAAATTTTTATTTAAAACATTTCTGAAATTTATATTTATCATCTTGGATTTATCTTTTATTTTTGATGACATTTTAGATTATGCCTAATCTTACACTATTTATAATGAGCATAATGTTCGTAAAGTTTGTCCAGATTCCTCTTCAATTTAACGAACTCCTGGAATGTGCTAGAACGCTCATGATTTGCTGTGTATTAACAGTCATTCATTAGTGAATGTTGCCTTCGTGTCAGATGTTGCTTGCATTTAGATGTCAGATGTTGCTTGCAAAAATTTAAACCAGTTACGATATTTTTATAACCCGATTTTTCCATTTCAAAAACTAAGGTGATGGAAGACAGCTCCATTTTACACCAGATTTTTTTCTGTACTGTTGCGTATCCGAGACATTTTCTGAATGTCCATGTTAATATTTCGTGTTATTGCATCGCCAGGAGTCGCATTAATTGTTTAGTTTGGCCATTGTTTCAACAGCGTCGTCATTGTGAATACAAGCGATCCTTGCGAGACAATGCAAAATTTGAAATGTGCTTTGATCTACGCACTAAATTCTGACCAAAACGGTGCCGAAAGTTCCTCTGTTGCGTTATATATCATGAAAGTGTTGAACGTATGCAGCTTTGATTGTTACCATCGTAACCCGTGCGAACCTGCGCTTCTCTTCGAAGTATATTTACGAGTTAATTAGCATCTTATACTTTGTGTTTATCCACTGTATTTAAATGTTCAATTTCTAGACATGCATCACACCTAATCGTTTTCTGATCGGGATGGATATGTACGGTAATTAGTGAACTGATGTAATGATCAGTTTTGCTTGGAGCGTTAATCAATTATGGATTGCGACTCTAGAGTATTCAAATTCTGTGGATATGGCAAGGGTCAATAAATACTCACAGAATTCCTACAGATTTTCCGTGATCGTAGCCATATTGAGGTCACTACGAATGAGTAATGACTGGTTCTGGTGTTAAGCTAACTCTCTTTTGTTTATTGTTCAAGTTAGTGTTTAACATTGCAAATAATTTGTAGTTTGTGTTTAATATTTGGACTACTTTTAGATATATGTTTTAGTTTAACGTTAAAGTCGATGTTATGTATCACTTGCTGGCCAGTTTTTTTTCCTTGCAGTTGCTTCCTTACTTTATTTGTTTTTAATTTCTAGACTTCCATGGTCTGGCGGCTTTTCTGTTAGAGTGCCAGCATAAATAGCTTGTAGGGCTTCTCCAGATTTTTTTCTCATGAACTTATTTGGCAAGCGTCGAATTTTTGTTGATTGTCAAATAGTCTAAAAAAGTATTATAAAAAAAGAACAAAGGGATAATTTAGGGATTTAATTTGAAGGGATTATCCTAAAAGGGAACACCCGAAATTTCGCTGTCATTTCGCTCCTAAGTTGGGTGCAGCCTATCCAGAGCACACCGGAAATTCTGGACGCTGCCTATCGAGCATATTTTGGAAATTACGGTGCGGTAAATCGAGCTGATATAGGTAGTTCTCATGACTGCTGAACCTGCGTTTGACAATTCAGAGGCTGCAGTGTTTGACAATTCAGAGGCTGCAGTGTTTGACAATTCAGAGGCTGCAGTGTTTGACAATTCAGAGGCTGCAGTGTTTGACTGAGTTTGAAAATTAATTTTGTTTATCTCTAGCAAATTGGTGACTATCTAAGTGCTCTTATAATTATTACTTTAAGAAATAGCTCTATTAAGTAATCTTAACCTCTTCGTCGATGACCGGCTAACCAGATATTATTTGTAATTTCTGAAGTTATATCAAATTCACTTACATCATTTCAATCATGTACTATATTAATATTACCATTTAATTGTTATGGTAAATTAAAAGAGCTAACAAGTTGAAGTTTGAGCCAAAGATAAAAATGTTGACCAAAATACTCCATGTACTGACTGCACAATAATATATTCATTTAAAAACTATTTTTGATAAACTGTAGGGTAATAGAGGACCATTTGTGGGGTAAGACAGGACCATTTGTGGGGTAAGATAGGACTGTTTGTGGGGTAAAACAGGATCATTTAGTGGTCCTGTCTTACCCCATGTCCGGTCCTTTTTTACCCCATTTTATAATACATGTCAGGCAGTGATGGTAGCAGGTAGGAATGTCTAGTATGTCTCAAAAGTTGCTTATTACTTGAGGTTACCTGCCTACATTCACAAACCTGGCCAAATTTTTTTTTGTTATTAGACAGAGCTTATTTCCCAAGCAGGGTTAACTATTTTGTGACCCTTCTTTACGTAGGTTTTCTTTAAAAATTAGTCAGAAATTCATTATTGGCAGAAGAGGGTTGAAACAAGCACTGAAATGACAGGCAATGATTGCTCTTACATATACTTTTGTCAAATTAAATTCAGTGCAATTAGAATGCACGCCATGGGCTGGTCCTTTCTTACCCCATGAAGGCTGCGATCCTGTCTTACCCCATTTGACTATATATATATATACTATATTAATATTACCATTTAATTGTTATGGTGAACATCGCAACTGAAGGAGCCTGCATCGTTTCATGGCCGCTTGAGAACAATCGGCTTTTGACGTGCGATCATTAAACTGTTTTGGCCATACTTCGCTGCCTTGCCATGGCGGATAATTGATCGTCCCCGCGCTGTTCCCGATCGCCTCTAGAGATTCGCGCCGACACAGCGCACGAATTTAGAAGATTTAATGACAATAATAAACTTACTAAATTGCTTCAATCTAATTTCGTTTGGTATGAATACCAAATGGAGAAAATGGCATTCAGAATACGTTAGAATTATTAGTTCCTATTAATTTACTCGCAACAGAACTCGAACCTTTTGTCTAAGCATTACGAACGAACCTAGTTCTTCATTTCACCAAGAAATGAACGTACCAATTTGGCATTAGAAAAAAAAAAAAACATTTAACAGAGCAGTTAAACTTTTGCTGTCCCTCTGATATTATTTTATGTAATGAGTTGTACGGAGCTTGCGTATAAGTATCTTCATTAATCACAAAATACTAATAGAATTTATGAGAATTAATTTAATTGTCTATTGAACGTTGTTGCATAATACGGTTTAAGTCATTCATAGTGAACTAATTTGTAGGTATGTAACTGTTCCTTTTTTTATACCGAAAATTTGCCCTAACTTTCTTACGTACACTTTTATTGCGAACAATAAATTCGTTGCTTCTTGTAATTATGGTTGATTTTCCCTTGTGTTGGCTTGAGAATCTACTATACGCAGCACGTAGAGATTCGCATCAAATGAACGTATTATTGTTATTTGCGCTTTAATTACGCGTTTAAAAGCGTTATGTTGAACGTCTATTTGAAAGTAAGTTCATAGAGTTCAAAGTAATTTGAACGTCTTCTGGCTTAATTTATTTAAAAATGACATGGAAACAGAAGTTGTGACGACATACAACGTAGTATGTCATCACGTCAACACCACACTACTGAAATAAATTAACAGTCTATGTAGCCATCCACCTACCAGATTTATTTTTTAATTGCGCGCTACGAATATTCATGAACATCGGGTGATCTGAACTTGCTAATTAAATAAACCTATAGACAATGATCTTGCTCTTAAGAAAATAACATATTATTGGATGTAATCGCTTTTATTTTCATAAACAAAGAAAAGTGAGCGTGACAATTGTTAGTCTATTAGTTGTGTGGGGCTTCATGACACGTAGTCTGTGGTATCGGCTAAGTCTTCTTATCTTATCAAGCCCAAACGCCCGTGTTTGTGTTTATAGTACGCACGGATTGTTCATTTTTGGAGCGAATCCCAAACTGAAGCTCCGGTTTTTATTTCTCTATAATCAAACAACTGAATATTATTAATGTTGAAGTCATCACACGAACGTATCAGCCAGACAATTAGATTTTGCATAAAGAAATACATGAGGAATGAACACTAATACTGTGATTAAAATGTCCATATTCGATCGCAATCTTTAGCGAAGAAATGACAACTGAAATATAAATGGTATAGTGAAACGGCACCATAATCTTCTCCATTCAGCCCTCCCGTAAAGGTGAATCATTATGACAAACAAGAATTTTTTCTTTGTTATCCGTTTGGCACTTACTTTGCGCCGTATTTATAGATCGATATAAGACTTTTCAGGCCGTTACTTGCCTTGGACGAAGGATATAAAACAAATACAACGTCACGATACAAACTTAACAACTTCGAAAAAAGTCTGGAGAACATAATAGAAATTTAAATAACCACAGAATTTAACATAACATAACATAGTGATGTCGGCGTTAAAGAGTAGGCCTGATGTGGCCTGTCGCCGATTCTTGAACTTTTCGTGACTCTGCACAGATCTAAAATCGTGTCATTTGACCGGATCTTTTCATGCCTGACGATAGTTTGAAATAGCTACTAGACTTCCACTGGGCTCGATATGGTGCTAGGCATTTCAAATCTGAACATATTTTTCCATAGCTTTATCTAGTCTGTTCTTGAACGCGTTCATACTCGGAGCGCCAACGATGTCATCGGGAAGGCTGTTCCACATGTCGGTGATTCGAAGCGAGAAGAAATGTTGTCGCGTGGAGAAGTTGCAGCGCGGTTTTTTTAGTTTACATATAGCCGTGGCCTCTGGTGTGAGTTCTTGTTTCAAATTCTAGTAATCCTTCGGGGACCTTGTATAAACAATGAGTAAACTTGTATACTTCAATGAGGTCCCCACGCAAACGTCGACAACTGAGGCTTGGAAGCTTCATAATCTTAAATCTTTCTTCATAGGACTTGCCCTTCAAGCCTGTAATTATCCTTGTTTCACGTATTTGAACATTCCTTATTAAATTTTTGTCCTTTTCAAATCTCGGTGACCACACAATGTTTCCAAACTCTAGACAGCAACAAACAAGTGCATCATCGCTTCTGCATCTAGGAACTCGTAAGTGCGTCTGATTCGACCAAGAAGTTTGTTGGATGTATTGCTTTCGTTTCAACATGCTTAGAAA